CAGAAAGCCATGACTTCAAATCTACTGTCTCACGGGGTTCCCAGGGAACACGGTGCCATAAACACAGTGGCTTAAACAGAAGAAACTGTCTGCCTCACCGTTCAGGAGACTGAACATCTGAGGTTGGAGCGTCAGGCTGGAAGGGTTTATCCAGATCTTTCTACTTCTAACAGTTCCTTGGGGTGTAGCAATGTAACCTCATTTTTTTTTCATGTGATGATTGCTCTCTTTATGAGGGTCTGAATTCAAGATTTCTCCTTGTACATGGGTACCAGCCATATTGATCCAGAGGCCCACCCAATTCCAATATGGGGTCATCTTAATTGATCATCACTGACCCTTTTTCTACGTGGGTCAAATGCTGGCACACAAGAAGTTAAGATTTTTTAGTATGTGAATTTGAAAAGACATAATTCGACCCTGTTGTGGGATGCTTTACTCTTTGGACTTTTTAAGGGGCCCACTACCCGGGGTTCCCAAATAAATCACGCACAGAGGCTTATTCTCAGTTAATGCCCGGCCTTGGCTTGGCTTGTCGGGGCAGCTTTTCTTAAATTAACCCATCAGCCTTTTCTCCCTGGGCTTTATCGTTGTTACTTCTGTATACTCTTTGGCTGGCTGGGTGGCTGCCCCTGATGTCCGCCTCCCTTGTCCTCCTAGTTTCTGCTTCTATTTATCCTCTCTGCCCGCCAGCCCCGCCTATCCTTCCTCCCGCCTTGCTAATGACCATTCATCTCTTCATTAGGACCATCAGGTGTTTTAGACAGGCCAAGAATCACAGTTTTACTGAGTCAAACAAATGCAGCATAAACAAAAGTCACACACCTTAAAATAATATTCCACAACACAACTCCTTGATATAAGGAATTATAATACAGGAAGGAGAGCAACTACATCCACTGTAAGTCCAGGAGTACCGATTTCTCAAAAAAAAAAAAAAAAAAAAAAAAAAAAAAAAACCTCATCCTTCAAAAGGCAGTGGCAGCCTTCACTGCTCAAGTTTTGAGAACAGTTTTGCTACTTGATTGCTTTTGTGTCCACGTGAAGGACAAGGGCGGGAGTTTTCTCAAACCCGCTTCGTGTTAGAAGCACTAATGAAAGCTGAAAATGTGCCCAGCCCCTTTAAGAGTGGCTACTTGAGAGTAGCGCAGGGATGTTAATACAGTCTGCCGTAGGGTGTTTGTTTCTAATGGAAGCGTGTTAACCACTGTGATAGGAAATAGTATAACCAGGGGGGGGGTTGGAAAAATCACGAGAGCATAGCCTCCATTGCTCCTCTCTCTCGCTCTAGCTAGACTTTACTGTGCCTGGCCTGTAGATCACCCGGAAGTATGTACGGAGCTAATTCCTGAAGGGCGCGCACCTTTCGGGAAGATGTCGTTGAGTGTGTGCTGATTGCAGCATTTGCGTATCATAACGATGCTCTTCTGGCTGAACCAGTGCTACCTATACCTCTTCAGATGCGCAAAATGGGTAACCCAGACTCACACAGTCCCTTACAAATTCTTCACCAGGAGGCCGATGGACACACAGGACTGCTCAGGAGTTTACAAAAAGTATTACCGAGAAATACTTGCAATTGTAAATCAGTATTGAAATACTGTGCTTTTCACAATGAGCAGATGGACTTAAAACATGGCTGGACAGTCTTCATTTTACCATTTATTGGCAGGCTTTAAAAAAAAAAAAAAAAAAAAAACAAAACTGCTGGCCTCCCCAGAAAAGCCGTCAATCTTTTTACAGCATCTCTTTAGTTTAAAGTAACTGAAGAGTCACAGGAAACTTGCAAAGAAGGTACAAAGAGCCTTCCCTTGGGTCCTTGCCAGCTTCTCCTAATTTATGTTTTATGTGGTGCTTGTTGAAAGTATCTGAATTATTTTTAAAACTTGTCAATGTTTTTGTTTTCCAACTCTTTAGGGTCCCAAACCGAAAAAGGTACGTAGAAATCATGTTTTCAAAACAGTTTTATGGATGTGTTGTACAAATAAACTTCCTATGGAGTTTTTAAGTAATTGTCTAGTTATAGTTTATAGAATTTAGTAAGCTCACCTTTCAGATAATAGTGTTATTTAAATCATGGGATAATTCTCCACAATTACAGATGTGTCTCACATTTGATGATATTTCTAGTTTGAAAAGGACACACTTTAGTTTCTACCTGCACCTGGATCTGTGACTTCAGTTTGTACTTCCACTGTAGACTATGTTGGGTTAGACCTTCCTTTTATTTATTTCAGATAAAACTAGAATGTAGTTACAGACCTGCAAGGCAGCACAATGCTTGTGGTTTTCTGCTTTTGTTTGTACAGGGTAGAAATTGAAGTTGCCTAAGGGACACACTACGCCTATGTCTGGAATATTGAGGTTGGCTAAGGGACACGATACCTCCTATGTCTGGATGCCTTTTCCCTCTTTACTTTGTAGATCAATAGTTTAAAGCAGAAATTTTTATCTTTAGTTACAGGCCAGATTTAGCCTACCAGTAGACTTGGGTTTACTTGAAATTTTTTTTTCATTTTTTTAAAAATCACTTCTCAAGTGTGTCATGTTGTCTCACCCTGTAATCCCAGCTGCAGTGAAGGTTGAAACAGGAAGATCATGGGTTTGAGCACAGCCTAGGCCAAAAACAACCCCCTCAAAACAAACAAACAACAACAAAAAACCCTCTCCCCCCAAACAAAACAACCCTCCCTTTCAAAACAACCCTCCCCCCCAAAAAAAGACACACAAAAAAAAGCCCAAAGAACTATGTATAGTCAGACATTGTCCCCTGAAATAAGGTGTAATAAAACAATTAAGAAGCAGTTGCATTTGACCCAGTCATGAAATACTCAATCTGGCCACTCCTTCCTGAGGTCCTATAAAGCAGCAGTTTGTGGAACTCAGCAGTGGCCACCTCTGGTCATTGTCCTATCTGTGGTCAGAGCCCTCACTTTGTTTATCTCCCTGAACACAACAGGAGGCAGGGTTAATCGCCTGCCGTAAAGTCCGTCTCAATGCTCTGTTGTCCATAAAATTTCCTGCCATTCTCTCTTGAAAACTCAGTTACATCCGACCCTCCTGATCTGTGGGTTCTGCACTTGTGATTAAGAATCTTCCTCAGAAGTGTGACCAGAAGGTTGGGCGTGGTGGTGCTCTCTCCTGATCCCAGTGCCCAGAGGGCCGCAAGTTCTAATCCAGCCTCGGCTATGCAATGAGACCTTGTCTAAAAAAGGTGGGGGCTAATGGGGTTACAGAGAGGAGCACTGGCTGCTCTTGCACAGGACCTGAGTTTGGTCCCCCCATCCATATGGTGGCCCTCAATCATGTAGCTCTAGTTCTGGTCTAGAGCCCTCTTCTGGTCTCTGAGCACCAGGAATGCACATGGTACACAAACACACATGCAGGCAAACACTCATACACACGTGATCTTTTAATTAAATGTGGTAGTGGATAGCATACACCATGTGGCTCAGAAAACTAGAAGAAACCATTTGGAATGTTTTACTGATGAATAAATATTTCGGAAGTCCCATCTGCAGAGTCTTCCATGGACTTATTCCTGAACAGTACACACAGCAGCTGCCTAGACTAGGAGTGGTAGCATGTAGGAGGAGTGTAGGAGGAGGTACACGTGATTTGCATGCAAACACTGTCACTTTACATGTGACCTGTACAAATACTCAGCATATATTCACATACGCATTCCTTCTGAGTGTTTGTAGATTCAGTGGGCTTCCATGTGTTTATCCAACAGCTCAGATGTAGAGCATCTGTACACAGGGCCCCAGGAGACATACTCCTGGTCACAGACGGCTCACAGGCTGAAAGTAAACAAGGGGCCAGCAAGACGGGCTGGGAGGCGAAGGCACTTGCTGCCAGGCCTGTTGATCCTTTTGTGTCCAGTCTCTGGGATCCCCATGGTAGAGGATAGAGCACCCCCCTGTGAGTTGTCCTCTGACTACCACATGCCTGTCTTGACACCTCTGCATGCACTCAAACACACACACACACACACACACACACACACACACACACACGATCCAAGACTACAACTAAGGTACATTCTACCGCAGGTGTTGGGAACCCAGAGGATAGACGTCATTCCTCAGTGTTAGTTACAGGACTCCATGGAAGCCGAAGTTCACATACTCAGGTCACAACCCCGTGCCCCTCAGCTCTGTGTGTCTGTGTAACAGTTCCCGGGATGCACGGCCATGGCCCTCTGTAGCTCAGCTGGCTCTCCAGCCTTCTGACACTCAACTCCTCCTGAGCCCTCTGCGGAGTCTTGCAGAGCCTGCTGAGTTTGCTGGGGCCCCAGCTTCCTTCCTGGTGGCTGCATTGTCCTTTGGTCCTGTCACCTTCCCCAGAGCAGAAAGGTTCTTTGAGCACAGCAGAAGCACCACTCGCTTTGTAGACGGTTACTTGATCTGTGAGACTGAAAATGATCTCCCCCCCCCCACTCCAAACTAAAAGCCCGCTAGTTGTAGAAGTACCTTTGATGTTTACAGATGTGCAGTTTCAGATTCCATCATGGGTGTTTTACTTACACCTAGGAAGCTCGACAATTATTCCAATCACATATTCTTACCAGTGTTTTCCCTGCTGTGGAATGCTTTACACGATTATTTTTCTTTTTTCTTTTCAGAATAATCTCTGCAGTGCCCACAGTCTATGCTGGGCACTTATTGGCTCTCTTGCCTATTGAATTAATGTGCATGAAAATTGGTTTCCTAAAATCAGTAATTATTTTCATGATTGCTACTTTTAAGATTTGCTTTTTAAATGTATGTGTAAGTGTGTGGGCCTGTGTGATTTTGTGTGCACTGTAGGTGCCTAAGCGAGCATTAGGTCCCTGGGGCTGGAGTTACAGGGGCTTGAACTGCGTGACCTGGGTGCTGAGATGAGCAGTAAGTCCCTTGTCTGCTGAGCCATCACTCCAGCAGCCACACTTACTGTTTGAAGGGACATGTTCTTGCGTGACGTGTGTTGACTTTAATGTCGTGCTCTTCATTAGTCTGCCGGCAAGAAAAAGGTCACCAAAGCTGAGCGACTGCGGCTGCTGCAGGAGGAGGAGGAGAGACGCCTGAAGGAGGAAGGTACTGAGTGCCCTGCCGGGTCACGGGGTCACAGGGCACAGAGCACCAGCCAGAGGTAGCACTGGGCACTTCAGCAGGCTCTAATTTTAGAATGGACTCCCATGTAGCAAGCACTCAGAAAGACCAGTGAGTGCACACTCAGTGCACACGGTCAGGCCCGAGTGTGCACCCAAGTCACACTGCCAGACAGAGCTCAGGACTCAGGGAGGCCCTGGTGCTCGCTCTCTCTCTCTCTCTGTGTGTGTGTGTATGTGTGTGTGTATGTGTGTGTGTGTGTGTGAGGGGGGTCCACTGTGCCTTTGGAGGATCGCTCTCTCTCTCTCTCTCTCTGTGTGTGTGTGTGTGTGTGTGAGGGGGTCCACTGTGCCTTTGGAGGATAGGGGACACTTGCAGGGTTCTGGTGTCTCCTTCCGCGATGTGGGCTTCACGTACTGAGCTCGGGTTGGCTCAGCTGCAAGAACCTTCACCCAGCGAGCCACCTCACCACTTACATTTTGTATTTATTTATGTGTTTGAGTGTTTTGCTTGCACATACGTCCCTGCACCATGTGTGTGATGTGCCCTTGGAGGCAAGAGGAGGGATGCCCTGGAACTGGGGTGACCGTTGCGGGCCTCCTTGCTGTGAGGAACTGAACCATGGCCTCCTTTCTGCGTTGGTGGATATTCATTGTCCATAACGCTGGTTTCCAAAAGGCGTTTCCATGCACGGATATAACGTGTTTGACTCGGGCATGCCTTGGTGGCTGGGAAGTGAGCCCTTCTTGCATTTCCACCACAGAGCAGAGGCTGTGGCCACCGTATAAACATTCTGGGTTGGGAATTCTCAGAGGAGCCTTCAGTCCCAGAACTCAGGAGGCAGAGCCAGGTGGATCTCTGTGAGTTCAGGGCCAGCCTGGTCTACAAAACTACACAGAGAAACCCTGTCTTCTGAACATTGTGTTTGAATATCTGCAGTTAATTCTTGTTTCCTTTTTTGGCTCTTCAGAGGAGGCTCGACTGAAATTTGAAAAAGAAGAACAGGAAAGGCTAGAAATACAGAGGCTCGAGAAAGAGAAATGGCATCTACTGGAAAAGAAAGTAAGTATGCGTGGCGGTTCCTGCCATGCTGACACCCACCCCTGTATCTGTAGCTGCAGCCCTGGCTCTTCTGGAATTCTCTGTGTAGAGCAATCTAGCCTCCTGCAGAGATCTGTTTGCCTTTGCCTCTCAGGTGCTGGGGTTAAAGGCACATGCCCCTGCGCCTGGCTGCATTGTTCATGTTTTAAACATCTATGTAGCATCTAGCTCAACAGAAGATACCTGGGTTCTCATGACAATGTCAGCGTTTCATTAGATGTTTCAGTGGAAGTATATGAAGAAAACCTCACCTTGCACGGATAGATTACAGAATTGGGGGAGAGGATGCAACAGGGCTGGAGATGTCTCCTGTGGGAAAGTGCCTTCCTTGAACCCATCAAGTCTGAGCTGGACGTGACTGTCAGGGTACTGGCCGCCTGCAGCTCGCTGCCAGCTAGCCTAGCCAAGCTGAGCTTCAGTTCTAGTGAGGGACCCTGCCTCACAACATAAAGGTGGAGAGTAGCCAGGGAAGAGCACTGAGCGTCAGTGTCTGTCTGCACAGGCACGCACGCACGCACGCACACGCGCACACGCGCACGCACGCACGCACGCACAGGGAAAACACCCTCCTAACCTTTCAGATTTTGTGGCATTCTTGAACACTGCACCTCAACTAAACACATGGTGGATGCTGCTGCTTTCCCCTCTTTGTGACAGAGCTGTGCTGTGCTGCTGAAGCTAAAATCAAACTTCAATCTCAAGGGATCCTCCTGCTTCAGCTTCCCGAGTAGCTGTGACCACAGGCACATGCCACCTTCCCAGCTTTACAAGCGAGCTTCTTGGTGTGGGGTCTGAAGCTACACTAGCCGGCACACACCCCACCCCGTTAGCGGGCACACCCCACCCCGTTAGCGGGCACACCCCACCCCGTTAGCGGGCACACCCCACCCCGTTAGCGGGCACACCCCACCCCGTTAGCGGGCACACCCCACCCCGTTAGCGGGCACACCCCACCCCCGTAGCGGGCACACCCCACCCCGTTAGCGGGCACACACCCCACCCCGTTAGCGGGCACACCCCACCCCGTTAGCGGGCACACCCCACCCCGTTAGCGGGCACACCCCCACCCCGTTAGCGGGCACACCCCACCCCCGTTAGCGGGCACACCCCACCCCCGTAGCGGGCACACCCCACCCCGTTAGCGGGCACACCCCACCCCGTTAGCGGGCACCCCACCCCGTTAGCGGGCACACCCCACCCCGTTAGCGGGCACACACCCCACCCCGTTAGCGGGCACACACCCCACCCCGTTAGCGGGCACACACCCCCTTAACGGGCACATGTGCCGGTTCCTTAGACTGTGTTGTGTCAGTGAGCTAACTACTTCCAAGTGTTGACGTGTCTTATTCTGCATCACCAAACTATCACGTATGTATGGGGTGTGCTGTCACATGCCTTAACCCAGCACTTGGTAGCCTAGTTTCCACAGCAAGTTCCAGGCCAGCGAAGGCTACATAGTGAGACCCTGTGTCAAAGAAAAAAAGTCACCTATGTTAGTGTGACTGCCAGTCAAATCAGAACTTTTTCAAGATTTGCTGTTCACCAGGTGCAGCTTCTTAATCTAAATTTTTGCTTGAATGCTGAGCCTTGTTGGTTCTAAGCAAATGCTTAACTTATACCCTTGACCTGTTATGTGCAGTGCATATGTTTTTGAGAGCATATCCACGAAAACACTGGATTATAGGTTCTTTCTCAGGCCACGGCTGCCTTTGGTGTGTACAGGAGTGCTTAATTCCTTCTCTCCATCCCGTCACACAAACTGGAAAAGTTTTGAGTCTTAGGGTTAGGGTGTAGTAGAATTAATTACTGCCCCCTCCATCAGGTTAGTCCTGTGTGCAGCCTCCATTTCTCAGTCTCAGCCCCCTAGCTAGAGCAGTTTGAGACCATCGCCTTGATGCGGGCCAAGACACCCGAGAGAGACTCACTCTGCAGTGTCGGAATTGTACTGTGCACGGTGGGGACAATGGGTATTCTTGTAGACCGATTCGCAGATCCCAAAGCACCGTCTAACATCCAAAGATTCCACTGTGCAACTACTGTCCCAGACTGTCTCAGGACTAGCAGTTTTATTCAGGCTAACTTAACTGTTTATTTTGGAACTATATACTCAGCCATGTAGATTTTAAATGCTCCTTGTGAAAGCTCACAGGACAGGGTAGTCAATGTAGCCTCCTTCTGTGGCAGGACCTAGAGAGGAGAAACGAAGAACTTGAAGAACTTTCTTTGCTAGAGGGCTGTTTTCCTGAAGCAGAGAAGCTAAAACGGGAAACCAGAGCGCTGGCCCAGGTGAGGACCACGAGGGAACCGCAGTCCGGTACTAGTTTTTATCTTGGGAAGGGTTATTAAGAAGGACATCTGGGATGGTGGAATGACTCAGTGGTCAAACGCCTGAGTTGGGTTCCCAGCATCCTTTATCCTGTTGCTCCAGCTCCTGGGGATCAGATGGGGATCTTCTGCACTCTGCAGGCACGACACACACAGAAATGCATACATACAAACAAATCTTCTAAAAACCTCTCCCATTGTCCAGGCAAAAGAAGTTGATGCGGTTGTGGGGAGCTATTTGTCAATAAGGGGACACTAGGAACGTTTGCACTCCCTCACTTCTTGGGAATCTATCTGAGCTCATTTTATTGTGCATCAGTGTAGCCCGCTTCAGAGTTGCTTTGTCTGTCTTCAAGGTGCAAGGTGTCTTTCAGCACTGTTTCCGGAGGAGGTGCTTATGTCACGTCTGAATACATTGTTGCAATCATCAAACTATCTCAGCTGTTCATGGTTACATCTGGGTGCCCTGCCCTCAGCAGCCATGCTGGATATTTCTGCTGCCACTGTTTAGGATGCCCTCACCTGAGTCTCTGGCAGGTGGCACGCTTCAGTGATAGGGATTTGTGCGCTCGGCCCCACGGCCTGTCATCTCTGTCCCCTGTCCTCCCAGCCTCCCTATTCTCTGAGACACACAGGAACTGAAATCACCCTGGTGACCACCCCATAATGCCCTCCAAACACCCCAGTGACAGCACGGCCCTGCTTACAGTCACAGGTGGAGTGATTGAGCCTGGAGAGAAGGCCAGCTCTAAAGCTGGAATAGCTGAATGCTGGCCTTTCACCACACCGAAACGGCAGAGGAGGTTTCTGGAAGGAATTAAAGCTGCTCCAGTGATGTCAGGCATGATGTGGAGGCGAACAGGCCCTTATTACTGACATGGAAAAAAGACAAGGCTAGCTCACCACTCCTAAACCATGGCCTAACCCGGGCCAGGCCAGGCCAGCCCACCACCCTGCACCAAGGCCTACCCCAGAGTAAAGCCAGACTCTTCACTAGTGTGAAGGCCCGAGAGCAGGAATCCACAAGATGAAAGTTTGAAGCTGGCTCATTAAATTCTTGTAGTCACAAGATGCCTTGCATTAAAAATAAAAGTTGTGGGATGTAGTAGAATATTATTTTAAGGTGTGCAACTTTTGTTTATGCTGCGTTTGTTTAACTCGGTGAAGCTGTGATTCTTTGCCTGTCTAAAACACCTGGTGGTCCTAATGAAGAGCTGAATGGTCAATAGCAAGGCGGGAGAAGGGATAGGCGGGGCTGGAGGGCAGAGAGGATAAAGGAGAAGCGAGGGGGAGAGGGCGGGGAGGGAACAACAGAGAACAAGGGAGGAGAATGTCAGGGGCAGCCACCCCACCACCCAGCCACCCCGCCACCCAGACACCCCGCCACCCAGACACCCCGCCACCCAGACACCCCGCCACCCAGACACCCCGCCACCCAGACACCCCGCCACCCAGACACCCCGCCACCCAGACACCCCGCCACCCAGACACCCCGCCACCCAGACACCCCGCGGCACAGCCACACAGCCCCACAGACACCCAGTCACCCAACCACGACACCCAGACACCCAGTCATCCAGTCACCCAGCCACGACACCCCACCCAGCCCCACAGACACCCAGCCCCACAGCCACAAAACAGTCCATGGAGTAAGAGTAAGATTCACAGAAGTAAGAAAACCGGAAAAGCCAAGAGGCAAAAGGTAGGTGGGATAATTTGAGTTCAGAAAAGCTGGCTAGAAACATAGCCAAGCTAAGGCTCTGCTCCCTGTGTGATTTATTTGGGAGCTGAGTGGCGGCCCCTCAAAAAGCCAAAAGAATAAAACACATTTCTCACTACAGTGGGAGGCTGAGACCTGTGTCCATTTGCTGAGCAGAACAGACTGGAGGTTAACCCCAAGAGCAGCTGGGATCGGTCCCTGAGGCCAACAGCCAGTTAGCTGGTGAAGGCTGGGACCCTCTGCCTGGCGGTTTAAAGTTGTCCCCTGTGCTTCATGCCCATGGCCTGATAAATGGTGTCTAGTGATGTCACTGGCTTCGTTCTCTCTACTTGCGGGCTCTGGGACCATGCAGTTTGGTGAATCGTGGTTTGATATGTGTGACCTTACTAACCCAAGAGCTGTCTGCGTCCCCTGGTTCTGCTTGGGGGCAGTTTGCCAGGCCAGTGTCAGAGCTCCAGAGAGTATCCAGGCATAGGCTACCCCCAAGTCCATGTTCTTTCCTGTGTGCCTGCCCCGTCTGGGCATTGTGGGTAATTCCCTCTGGGTTAGGAGTCTGAGTTTCACTGTAGGTGCATTGGAAGTAATGGTTTGGTCCAGAAGGACAGCAGGGAGGTCTCCCATGTCTGAAGGCACCAGGCAGCAATGAAACTGGCTTCAGTGAGGACAAGGGTTCTCCTGTACAGATGTCACCAGCACCTGGGTGGCAGTCGTGGGGCCCTGTGCGCTCTCCAAGTCCGTCTCTCTGTCACGTCTCTTCTAGGGTTGTTCATGTTGATGGCACGACCTCAGGGTCTGGCCCCAGCTCTACGGAAGGTTCTAATGCTGGAAGGGTCTGGAGTCTGTGCTGGCTGCCTGAACTAGACAGAACTTGGGATGCGTCAACACGGTCCAAAACTCCATTCGAAACTCTAGCTAGTCACATGTGTCATATTTCCAGTAACATGCATTCATGGCTAAGGAAATGGGGGAGCCTTAGTGCGTAAAATAAATTGAGATTAGGGCAGCCACCCTGAGGTGAAGATGGGGAGACAAAGCGGATTTTGAATGCCATGGGAATGCTGGGATGCACTGTAAATCCGCATGCAGGCTTTGAAAGCCATCGAGTTTCTGGAGAGGTTGAGCCCTTGGGTCAGTGGTGCTGGCGTCACCTTGTGCCTCGGCTGAACTCAAACAGCAGTGTGTAGCTGTTGCTGTCTGTGGGTCCTGCCCTTATGTCAGCCTCCATTTAAAAGAACAGCTTTTGTTGTTGTTGTTGAGAAACTGCTTGTTCTGTTTTTTGAAAGCCAACTAGAGACGGTAATTTACAGCCTTGGAGAAAGCCTCGCTCCATGTGAATGCTTTTCTCTCTGCACCAGGAGGGAGACATAAGCCATTGGGGTTTAAACAAGGGAGAAGGCATACGTAATACGCCTCAGCTTTGACCATTTGGCCTTAGCCGGGCTTTGTGCTGAGATTCTCTTCCCTGGTAGATGATGGTAATCAGACATGGGATTGAATACAGGGGCAGCAGGGCTAACACCTGGGGCAGCCGTCTGGGCGCTCAGTCAAGAAAGGTGCAAGGTGGGTGGGTGACGGACGGACAGATGAGGGGTAGGGTACAGAGGAGAGAGTTTGGAGGGACGAGTTTGGGCACTTAAACAAAAGATGATTTGTAGCAAGGTAGTTATGGTATGTGTGTGCCCGTGCGTGTGCGCGTGTGCGCGTGTGCGTACCTGCATGCACGTGTGTGCCTGTCTGTCTCACTCAGACTCTGTTCCAAATTGTGATGTGTGATGTCTCTGCCCCCCCCCCCCCCGCCTCCCAGGCTCTGGTGTTTCACCGGCTCCGTTCAGTCTTTGTAGGAGCTCATTTGCAGAGGGTGCTGGCAGCTGAGCGCCTCTGTCTTCAGACAAAGAATCGGAAGCCTTGCCTGGATGCACTGCAGTGTTTGGTGTCTTTCTGAACTCCCTTTGTGACAGGCTGTGTTTAAAGAACAATTGTAGCCTAATGTTAATACACTAAATGATCATAGAACCGATGTGAAACCTGCCACTGTGTCTTCAGCCATCTCTTCGGGGGTGTGATGTATAGTGAAGTGAGTAGTGGAGATTCATGGGCATCCTGCTCCTGACCCTGACCTTGTGCATTGGCCCCAAGCCGGCTGACAGGGAAGGTGCAGGAAGTCGTTCTGAAGAGAGGAGCGTGGTCTCTGTTTGCATTGGTGAGTGAGTGTTTCGCCCTGGTTACAGTACTCTGAGAAGCAGCGACCAGCACCTGGGGTTGGTAACAGGTAGGCACTACCCCACCTCTGTGTAGAATGTTCCAGTATATTCAGGGGCACAGAACAATGTCCCGAGAGCCATGAAGGGACAAACCAGGCCCATGGTGGCCTGAGCAGAAAGGACAGAACACCCTGCCAGGTGCTGGGGACAGAGCCATGGCTCAGTTTGAGGAAGGCTGAGTGGGCTGCCTCAAAGCAGCTGTGTTCACAGAGTTCAGTAATTACAGTTGAGCCAGGCTCAAGGGTTGCTGGGTAATCGGTACTGCTGCTGAGCGCTTTGGCTCTGTGTGGGCAGGAAAGACAGCCACTGCGTCTGTGTATTGCTAGACACGGGAGGGACCACACAGTGCTGAGGAAATGTTTCCAAAGATCCTAAGGCTGCTCATGCACACAGTGATGGAAGAAAGCTGGCATGTTGCCGTTTCATGCATTTTATTAGAAAGTAAGGCTACAGCTGGGTGGTGGTGGCGCATGCCTTTAATCCCAGCAGAGGCAGAGGAGGATGGATGTCTGAGTTCCAGGTCACCCTAGTCTACAGAGTGAGTTCCAGGACAGCCAAGGTTACACATGTCTCAAAAAATACAAAAAAGAAAAAGAAAGAAAAGAGAAAGAGAGAGAGAGAGAGAGAGAGAGAGAGAGAGAGAGAGAGAAATTATGGTCACAGAATTAACCCTAATATAAGGTGATAAAGTTAGAAATGGTAATTCCTTGTACAAGGAAAGTGTATTTTGGGTGTATGAAGCTAGAGAGAAAGAAAGATTATTTTAAAGGAAAGGAATTGTTTCCTTGGTCCAAAGTTGAATAGTTCCAACTAAAAAAGTAAACGTATAGGATAGAAAACTAAAAGTTCCAGAGTCTGGCTCTGTGTTAACTGGCACACTCAGGATAGAAGACTAAAAGTTCCAGAGTCTGGCTCTGTGTTAACTGGGACACTTGGGATAGAAGACTAAAAGTTCCAGAGTCTGTCTCTGTGTTAACTGGCACACTCAGGATAGAAGACTAAAAGTTCCAGAGTCTGGCTCTGTGTTAACTGGCACACTCCAGAGAGAGTGCCTCAAGTCGGGCACTGAGGGTCTTGTGTTTCTGTTGTCCTGGCACAGGGGCTGACACAAGAGGACCTTGAGTTCCGGGCTACATGCTGAGGCTTTGTCTCAAAACAAACAACACAAACAAATCAGAAGAGCCAACCCCAACATCTAGGAATGGCATTCTAAGCTTAATGTGTTTTTTGTTATATTAAATTACATAGGAAGTATTGCCACATAAGTAAATACAAATCTTTGGGTTGTATGTTTATCATTCATATGTTCCAAAAATTACATGAAATTAGCTTAAATCTGAGCCCTGTGGAAATGCTATTAATACTACTCAATTCTAGTTCTCTTCATAGTGTACAGTGTAAAAGTAACTAAATTTTATCTACAGATAACTTGTAAGTCAAGCATTTGCCTAGCATGTATGAGCCCCAGGTTCTAACACCACAGAAAGGGGGGAGGGAAAGGGAGAGAATAAATATAAACGCAGCTTTCATGCAAGTGGGGGGATTGTTGTAAAGAATCCCCACCAGATCTTTAATGGGTTGGGTTGTGTTATCTCCGCAAACAGTTAATAACTATTCTAGATTGACATGCTCCATCTTGAAGCCTCAAAGGGCCCCGACCAGTGCAAAACCATCTGTAACTTGACACCACCATGTGTGTTGGTAGCAATTCCTGGGCCCAGTCATGGAGAATCTGGTGCTCGTGAGAAGGTTGGTCCAACATCAGGCAGAACAGGAATTGGCAGTGACCTAGGGATGCTGATTTGTTTTCACGGCAGATGGGCCAAGTGCAGAGGCTGCTGGATGTGTGGTTTGATGAACTTGGGATTGATCCCAACCACATTTCCTGTGCTGTCCTGTTAATGAGATGGAGAATCAAAACTACCCGAAAGAAAGTCATACAGTGTCCTGCGGCCTCGTGTGTGACGTGACCAGCGGCCCCATCTTAGGTCATACAGTGTCCTGCGGCCCCTGTAGGGCAGGAGCAGCTGTAGCCATCATTTTGGAGCCACTAATTCTGAAGTCTTCTGTTATTGAGAACTGTGTGTTGTGATCATCACGACTTAGATGAGGTGACACGGATTCTTGAAAGAAAAAAAAAAAAAAGATGTGGGGACAGCCCTAGGTTGCCGTGAGTTATGGCCAGTCTTTGGCTTGTCAGGTCCTCACCCTGAGGGGACAGTACTGCAGGGTTTCTTTGTTGCTGCCTTTGATGGGACGAGAGTCCCCTTGAGTGTTGTTCTCGTGCCGTTCCCATGCAGAGAGGCTGATGCTGTAGCGGTAATGAGAATGCTCTTCTGAAGTGTCTGCTTGGTGGGAGCATCCCTGGAGACACTCCTACTGGCGAGGGGTGTGTTTTACTGATGTGTGTATAATGAAAACAGTTGAAGGTGTTAGACACTGTGGCCTCCTCTGTCACCCTCAGTCTCCGGACAAAGATGAAGGACAGACAGGATTGTCAGTTGATTGCCTCGCCAAAGATGCTATCGGGGTTGAAAAGGGCTCACTTCAACTTTGAAAGTAGCTTGGCTGTGGATGGAATGCTCCCACAGAAGAACCATGCAGCCAGCAGGAGCCGTCAGTGTGGCAAAGATGGTTCTTTAAGATGGTGTGTGTGGTGTGTGTGTGTGGTGTGTGTGTGTGTGGTGTGTGTGTGGTGTGTGTGTGGTGTGTGTGTGGTGTGTGTGTGGTGTGTGGTGTGTGTGTGGTGTGTGTGTGTGGTGTGTGTGTGGTGTGTGTGTGTGGTGTGTGTGTGGTGTGTGTGTGTGGTGTGTGTGTGGTGTGTGTGTGGTGTGTGTGTGGTGTGTGTGTGTGGTGTGTGTGGTGTGTGTGTGTGGTGTGTGTGTGTGGTGTGTGTGTGTGGTGTGTATGGTGTGTGTGTGGTGTGTGTGGTGTGTGTGTGTGGTGTGTGTGGGTGTGTGGTGTGTGTGGTGTGTGGTGTGGTGTGTGTGGGTGTGTGTGTGTGTGTGGTGTGGGTGTGGTGTGGTGTGTGTGGTGTGTGGGGTGTGTGTGTGTGGGGGGGGTGTGTGTGTGTGTGGTGTGTGTGGTGTGTGTGGTGTGTGTGTGTGTGGTGTGAGTGTGGTGTGGACAAACATGCTTGCCACCGAGCCTGATGGCCTGGGTTCAGTCCCTAGGGCCCACATGGGGGAAGGAGTGACCTGGTCCCTGAAGGCCGTCCTCTGACCTTCTCACGCCCACGGTGGTGTATGACTTTCACACGCTCACCATGGTGGTGTATGACCTTCGTACGCTCAGGGTGGTGTATGACCTTCACACGCTCACCATGGTGGTGTATGACCTTCGTACGCTCAGGGTGGTGTATGACCTTCACACGCCCACGGTGGTGGTGTATGACCTTCACACGCTCACGGTGGTGTATGACCTTTGCACGCTCAGGGTGGTGTATGACCTTCACATGCTCACCACGGTGGTGTATGACCTTCACACGCTCATGGTGGTGGTGTATGACCTTCACACGCTCACCATGGTGGTGTATGACCTTCACATGCTCAGGGTGGTGTATGACCTTTACATGCTCACCATGGTGGTGTATGACCTTCACACGCTCACGGTGGTGGTGTATGACCTTCACACGCTCACAGTGGTGGTGTATGACCTTCACACGCTCACGGTGGTGTATGACCTTTGCACGCTCAGGGTGGTATATGACCTTTGCACGTTCATGGTGGTTTATATGTGCCCCCCTCCCCATAAAAACCAGGTTTGTTTGTTTTTCTGAGACAGGGTTTCTCTGTGTAGCCCTGGCTGTCCTGGAACTCGCTCTGTAGACCAGGCTGGCCTGGAACTCAGAGATCTGCCTGTGAGTGCTGGGGTTAAAGGCGTGTGCCTGCCCCACTCGCCCACACCACAGTTTTCAGAAGTTGGTTTCCTCATGAGAGTGACGTCACACGTTTGTATCCCCAGTGGAAACACTACATCCAGTGTGACGGAAGCCCCGACCCTTCGATTCCTCAGGAAATGAACACTTTCCTTAGCTTGTGGGAAGAGGAGACGAATGAGACCTTCGAGCAAGTGATTGAGAAGAGTAAGCTGGTGCTGACTGTAAGTGCTCTAGACCCCGTTAGCGCGGCTGCTGCCCGCCGAGCCCAGCACCCCCCACTGTCAGAACCCACCTCACAAAGCCACACGCAAACACTGAGCACTCACCACTCCGTCTCATGGAGGCCGGCCATGAGCTTGTTTTATTTATGTGGAGGGAGTGGGGACTTTTATTGCCACTGGACATCGGGTGCTGTGGTTTGGGTTGGAAGTTCTCCCCGGTAAATGCTGGTGCTCCCCGGTAGATGCTGGCACTGTCTCTGGTGAATGCCGGTGATCTCTCTCTCTCTCTCTCTGGTGAATGCTGGTGCTCTCTGTTAAGCTGCTAGGATTTTTAAGAGTGGTTTCTGTGGAAGGAAATGAGTGTGTTCTCGAAGGGATGTGGGGACCCTCCCAGGCTTGGCACTGCCTTCCTGGCCCCCCTCACCGACCATTACTTTGTTAATGTATGGCTAATGGCTCTCCTGTGATAATTTTATCCATGTCATTGTGCCTTGCTCAGATTTGCCTTCTTAATGAAGGCAAAAAAGGTAACAGTACCCTAACTTCTGTGACTGCAAATAAGATGCATAGACTTTTCCCAGAAAAACACTGAGAAAAATGAACAACTTTAACTATATTTTTCATAAATAAGTTAGATCCTTTAGGCCATAGGGAAACTCCGGAGCCACTGGAATCCCAGATGGATGTGATGCTGTTCATCTGTGAATCCCTAGTGCCTAGTGCCATAGCAGCCTAAAGCCGCGGTGAGAACGAAATGTGCCCGTGTGGCTGGGAACTCAGACTATGGATGACGGGAGCAAGTACTCCCCAGAAGGTCAGAAAATAGTCTTGGATCATTCTTGGCTTGCATATATACCTTGAGACTTCTTAATCACAAACAGATGGGAAATTACATGGAAAGTCTCACATACCGACCATGACAAAGGAGTCTGGTCTGGAATCTGGACAGGACACATCAGAAACAGTACAGAGTTAGGGTGACACGATGTTTAAAGAAGCAAGGTTGAGAGGATCACCCAGAACTGAAAGACAGGAACCCTCTAATCCACAGAGTCTAGTAAATTCCAAGAAGAGATACAGACTTAGAACACTTCTGGCAATCCACACACCTCTGTGTTTGAAAACCCCCTCACACATGGAACACACACACACACGCACACACACGTGCACACGCGCAAGCGCACACACACGTGCACACGCGCAAGCGCACACACACACGTACGCGCACACACACGCACACATGCATGCACACACGCATGCACGCACACACATGCACACGCACAACCTGCACACGCACACCTGCACACGCACACCTGCACATGCACGCACATGCACGCACACACACACACACACACACACACGCGCACACTGATTTTTCTATCTCTCAGCACTAACTGGGTGCCTGCGGTTTAATTCTGACCCTAAATACACAGAGTCAGTAGCATTGTCCCTGAGTGTTAAGGGTTTGATCCACTAGCTACTCATATCTTCTAACCATCCCCAAGGCTACATCTGCCTCTGAACAACCAACTCTAAATAGGGCTCCCCTAACTGTGTTGGATGAGATAACCTAACAGTTCCCTAAAGGTAGAAAACTGGCACCTCCACCCGGTATAAACAGCTAGATGAAAAACGCATAGGGCACAATGCGTGGGGAGGGTTGAAACGGTTTCCTGAGGTCCATGGGTGCTCTGTATGCTTAGCAGCAACTAGAAGGTTCTCTGGACCCCGGCACTGAGGGCATTTCAGGAAGCATGGTGCTGGCAGGACACCATCATCTCTCAAGGCTGGGCGGTACGGTGCACACCCCACCTTCCATCACCTGTGCACTCAGGGGCCCTCCTGTCCTCCAGAGTCACCACACTGGCATAAACGCAAACGCAGCTGAAGCTGGGTCACTATGAACGACAAACCCAGTCTCTGGTACCCCAGCCCTGGGGACTCTTCGGAAGGAATGTTTTCTTTCTCTGTGATCTTAAATGGCAGAAGGCAGGAAAGGGTTTCTCTTGATCTGAAAGTGATGTGCCATCCCCTTCCCACACCCCTTTGGCCATGTTCTAGGTGAGTGACACAATAATCTTTATGTTGCAGTTGATCGAGAAGCTGAAGCTAATTTTACTGGAAACTCCATCGTGTGACCTGGAAGCCAGAACTGTGGCACAGCACCAAGAGTCGATCCTGCGCCTGCAGGAGCTCCTCAGCCTCAAGGTGGACATGGCCACGGAACTGCTTCTCCGAGTACGGGTCACATTTCTCAGACAGCGCTAACTTTAAGGCTGTAGCATCTCAACTGTGTGCCATAGTCTGCTGATGTTCCTAAAGATCCTAAGATCTTCCAGGGCAGATCCGCGACATGAAGGACCTGTACTTATGTGATTTAACGTCCGTTAATAACTTATTTTCTAAAGAGACAAAACATTATCAGCCATAAGCTCACTTTCCTTATACTTGCCAAAGTTTACTGAATTCACTAAAGAACTTCACAAAATTACAAGATATATGCTATAGGCAAACCAGCTGATATAGATAGCAATTATGGATATCCCAATTTTTGTTTTGAAAGTACTCTATAAACATAAAAAGAGAACACTACCATGAGTCTCCTCATGTGCTGTTAACTATGAATTTTCAGTTCTATTTACCTAATTTATACAGAAAAAGCAAAACATTAAATGTTTGATAATATTTTCTTTGTGTCCCCTTTACCCCAGCGCCATTCAGAAGTTTGTGTATTTATTCACCAAATATCTCAGCAATAATTATAAGACCCAAATAAATGTAAGCTAGTATACTTCATAAAACTCATCATTTTATCATTCTACTATCTGGCTTATAGTCCAGATTTCCCATGGATGTCTTATAAGTTCTAATTCTGTTGCATTTTTGAAGAATCAGAGGAACACAGTCTATAGGCACAAATTGTTGAATCATAGAACAGTTTATAGGTATACGCAAAGCATGCATTGCTGAACAGACTACAGGCACACAGAGGACATACATTGCTTTCAGTCATTTTGTCTTAGTTCTCTTGGTTTAAAAGAGTCCTTGGACAGCCTTGCTGGGATGTGTCTAAGTTTAAACAGTCCTGCAGAGAGAGCTATGTAGCACAAAAAATAAAAGACCCAGAGACTGATGATTAGGGTTCAAGCTTCAAGCCACAAATCAGAAAAGCAAAGCAGCCGGCCACTAGCTCTCATCACTAGCTCAAGCTGAAAGGGCTGATCCTGTCTCCATGAACCTCAGGCTATTACATGTCCTCAGTGTGCCTGGAGAATGTATGCCTTCCTGTCCTCTATGTGGCTGTAGAATGAATGTCATTTCTGAGACCCTCTTCCTGTTAAATACCCCTTATGAGTCCTGGGATTGAAGACATGAGCTCTGTTTCTCTTTTAGATTGATTCAATCTCGTGTAGCCCTGAGTGGCCTTGAACTCAGAGTCCATCTGCCATTGTCTCCTAGGTCCTAGGAGTAAAGGTGTGTGCCACCACTGCCTAGCTTTTGTAGCTAACTAGTGTGGCTGCTCTGCTGTTTCGATCCTCCAGTGACTTTAATACACCATAAACAGCATATCGCCACAGAACTGAGCCTACCCTCGCTGGCTGTAGAATTCTCGTCATATTCCTGCATGCACTGTGTGTGTTGTGGGACAAATGGAGTAAGGGGTTGTGTAGGGTTATTAGTGGCTGAGATGTTTACTGTAAGGGAAAGCAGACTTGGTATCTTTTTCTCTTGTTTTATACACGTTAACCTTACATTTGGAAGAGAGATATTAGTACAAGCCAGATCTTGGTGCATCAGCGGGGCCCAGGGAAGCTGGTGATGCACTGCGGTGGTTGGAGCACTTGCTAGCAAGCTCAGCACCACGCAGGAATGAAATACAAGGACACAGAGGAGATGCGTGAGGACAGGGGAGATGCCCTGCTGCAGTCTGGCTGGGTTACCCTTTTGCACCGGCCTGTGTGCACGTGTGCGCTTGCTACATGCATGCCTGTACACATGGAGCCCCAAGGTGGGCATCGGGGTCCGCCTTGTGTGGTGAGGCAGGGTGTCTCAGCTGAACCCAGACCTTGCAATAGAACTGGCCTAGTTAGGAATTCCCGTCTCTGCCCTCCCTCCCAGGCTGAAGCCACCACACGTCAGCAGAGGTCCTGGGGACCTAAACTTTGGTTCACACATTGGCAGTTGCTGTAACCACGTAGCCATCCCCTTGGCTTCTGAAGTTTTTTTTTTTTTTTTTTCAGAAAAATTCTTGGCCATTTTGATTTAAACTTACTTTTATCCAGATTATTCTTGTAATAATAACAAGGAAACCAATATGTGATGTGCAATAATTCTCGTGTTCACTGTAGAGAGTTGTCTCTCCTACTGGTTTAATGTAGCCAGGCAGAGCGTATAGTCAGGGTTACCAGACGAGGAGAATTCCAGTCAGACAGATGAGAACGCTTTACTGAGAAAAGGCACCAAGGCACGTGGCTAAACATAGATGAGAATTTATGGTTGAATTTAAGTTGTAAGAGCTAGTTAGTAATAAGCCTGAACAGTAGGTCAAACAGTTTATAATTAATATTAGCCTCTGAGTGTTTATTTGGGACTGAATGGCTGCAGGATACAAACTTCCATCCACAGATATGCCAGTGACCATGTGATTTTCCTAAGCTGTGCGACTGTGAGAAGCTCTGATGCGTTTTTCTCTTACAGGAAGCTAGTACCTTAGCAGATTTGGACAGTGGGAACATGGAAAAAATCATCCAAGATGAGAATGTGTCCCTGTATGTGTGGGCAAACCTAAAGAAGAATCCCAGGTATCCCCACCACTTCCCCACAGACAGTGCTGTGCAGTAGGTTGGCTTAAAGTGTAAACATCAGATTCTGTAGAAGTGTATCCCAGTTTCTAGTGGGATATGCTACAGAGAATACCATGCCTCCATGCTGGTCACATGAGTGGTGTACATGTAGAAAAAACACTCGTGCGCATAAAAACAAACCATTTTTTTTAGAAGTTAGGAGCCCTCTCCCCACCCTCATCCTCTGCCAAAGCCAGCCTTGAACTGGTAAACCTCCTGCCTCAGCCTCCCCTGTGCTGGGATCATAGGTGTGTGACATCAGGCTGGGCTCCAAATTTCATTTTTATGTTCCATAAAGGAAGGGAACAAAATATTCCCCAAGTTGTATTTTGTATAAAATGCTGAGGTTCCTATCAACTTCAAGACAACATGTTAGCTTTTTTTTTTTTTTTTTTTTTTTTTTGCTGTTGAATACCACACACAGAATCGTGAAGGAAATTCATCTCTAGAAGAGGGGAAGATGGCATGCTCTCCTGCATGAGACTCATGCTTTCCTACAGTGAGGAGTAGTGGGAGCTATAAGGTTTGGTTTTTATTCTGATGATGATAGGAGAGGATTGCAAGGATTAATCCAGTGCAAGACTGGCGGAGTACCCAGATAGCAAAGTGTGGCAGACACTGAGAGAAGTCTGGATGGAATATATTTGCAGAGTCACTGGTGAAAAACCAGTGTTTTCAGTGCCACAGATTTTTCTGAGCAAGAAATATGTTCACACACATGCAAAGGTCAGCTGGAGCTTCTTAGCGTTCATTCAGGGGTCCTCTTCCTCCTCCTCACAGTGACACCCCTGGTAAGGTGAGCAGTAACTGAAACCATAGGTGATCAGGTTTAGAGAGGGTGCGGTGGAGCACCGAGAGATCCCGGGGAAGGAGGAGCACCGAGAGACGGGGTGGAGCACCGAGAGGCGGGGTGGAGCACCGAGAGGCGGGGTGGAGCACCGAGAGGGTCCAGGGAGGGAGGGTCACTGAGGCTCCCGGGAGACGGAAGCTGCTTGGGAAGAAGGTGCGTGGCTTGGAATCCGAGAGTGTTGTGAGATGATCTGGGCCCCAGTGCTGCAGGTAAAGGGCACAGGACACAAAAGGAGGAGAATTGAAACAGACCCCTGCACAGTGCGGTGTGGGACCCCGACCTTCCCCACGCTCATCCTCTCCCTGTCTATCAATTACTGACAGGTATCGAAGTGTGAAATTCTCTGAAACACAAATTGGATTTGAAATCCCGAGGGTACTGGCTACAAGTGACGTCGCCCTTCGGCTCCTACACACGCGCTATGACCATGTCACCCCCCTGTACCCCATGGCTGCCCCTGGAGAGGAGCCGGTCCCCATGGTAACGGAACAGGCCAAGAAGGAGGAGCCTGTAGAAAAGGCCGCCACTGAAGAAAAGGCCCTCCCCGAGGAAAAGCCGGCCATCCAAGAAGATGAGGCAGAGCCCACGCAAGAGAGAGAGTTTAGCTTGGCCCAAGAGGAGGAGACCAACGTGGAGGCCCTGGAGGACTTGGAAGTAGAAAGGGTAGGACACTGTCTGTCTGTCTGTCTGTCTGTCTGTCTGTCTGTCTGTGATGGTATCGCATAACACATTCCAGGCCAGGGAGCAATCCCCCTGCCTCAGCCTCTCAAGTGCTGAGATGCTGGCCCGAGACACTTAACTTGGGCTGGCATGCTCTAAACGTCTTGTGGACCGTTTATTCTGTGCAGTAGCATTTGCAAGTCCCCAGGGGTATTCTCCAGACCTTCCTGAGCAAACGGACTCTGGTCAGAAGCCCCTCTCTCGCCCATGCCTTGGGTCCCAGTGCCCCCCCCCGCCCCCCCTTCAGCAGGGTGTGTAGGAGCTTCGGCCCTCCCGGTCCTGCACTCCCACGCCTCACCCCATGGGCTGCTGCACAGCCCTCCGTGGGGTCAGAGCTCGGGGTGCTTGTACGTGACCTCTCCTCCTCCTCCTCCTCGGCAGTGTGCCTTGAGTAGAAACTTGCAGCAGATAAACGCCTGTACGCCCTGGAGGAGGCCCCGTCTCCTGCCATTCCCCAGCGTCTGGGTTTCTAAGACTTGGTGTTTTGGAAACATGGTCTCGCTGTGCAGCCATGGCTATCTTGGAGCTCACTCTGTAGACCCGCCTGTCTCTGCCCCCCTCCCCCCCCCAGGGCTGGCGTGAGGTGTGAGTTGCCAGGCATGGCCGATCACTACCTTGAGATGCAGCATGTAGAGAGGCTCTGTGTATTGTCTGAACAATTGAAGAGCCACAGGCTGGAGACTGGGGAAGGCTCAGCAGGGAAGGTATCCGCTATGTAAATACGGTGACCCGGACTCATATCACAGCACCCATGGAGACATAGAGCAGGGCCACAGCTGCACGTGTAACCCCAGCACTGTGGGAGAACAGAGCTGGGATCCACGGCCACTGAGACCCCGGCTCCAGGCAATGAGGCTGAGGTTGGTAAATCAGGACAGCCAGTGCCCCTCTCTGCCCTGAGTACCCGTGTGCACACGGACACACACGTGCACACGGACACACACGTGCACACACTGTTAAACACAACCCCACTCCTGCTGGTGACTTTGCTCACTTCCAGCTGCCAGGACTTTCGCAGCACACCTGTGTTAGAGCAGCTTTGCACTTGAACAATTCTTTCTCCACCCAAGGCCAATTTTGTCACCAGAGCCCACTCGTACCTTGATTTGAAAGGTTGTTTTCTTGAAGTATGGGAAGAGTTAAGGAGTAGACGGTGGGTGGATTTGAGGTAATAAACAGGTGTGTTCCTGAATGGCTCAGTGGATAAAGGAGCCTGTGGACATAAGTCCATCCGTGAGCTGTTCATGGTGGAAGGAGAGGTCAGACCCCTGAAAGCTGACCTCTGACCTCCACACGTGTGCCATGGAACAACACCTACACACACACACACACACACACGTGTCCATACTATCCATTCACAAATAAATGTAAAAGTTGTAAAACTCTGGATTATTTGATATTCTAAGAACATGCTGAAAACCCTGTTTGAAATTCAGCAGTTGCATCAAGCGGTTTGGAGACTCTAGAATCTAAAGCAACAGAGAAACTAGGAGGGAGCTGTAATTGTGTTCTGTGTGTGATTGTAACAGGAGCATTAAAAAGAACCAGAAAATGGAACAGGGCTGCTGTGGAAATGAGAAATGACCCATTTCCCCCATCTTTGGGAATCTGTCAGTTCTCAGGAGGCAGAGGCGGGCGGGCGGATGGTTGTGGGCTCACAGCCAGTCTCTGTCTAAAAATCAAACTGATAAGAGCATTTCTTTAAGAAATTATTTTGTTTTGTTTCATTTTAGCTCTTGGGTGGTAGCTTTCTTGGGGTTCAGCACTTCTGGTCATTTTTCCTTCCCAGGGTGAGGAAAGATTTTACCCCACTCCCCTTCAGGCCAGGTATAACAGCCTGATTTGCTTTAGCTGTAAGACATAAAGCAGTATGTTGTATGTTGTGTGTGTGTCGGGGGAATCATCTCTGAACCCAACATCATTTCAAAGAAAATGAAAATTTAAAATTAAAAGAAAGGAGGTTAACTTGCAGGGTGTTAACTGCAGTCGTGAAGTCATGAAAATAAGAGAATGAGAGACCTTTGAGTCTCTGGAGCAGGGGTTCTCAGCCTTCCTAAGGCTGCGGCCCTCTAACACAGTCCTCAGGTCGTGGTGACCCCAACCTTAAAGTTACTAGCATTGCTACTTTGTAGCTGTAATTTTGCTACTGCTATGAACCACACTGTAAATATGGAATATGCAGCCCCTTTGAAAGGGTGTTCCATCCCCAAAGGGATTGTGACCCATGGATTGAGAGGCACTGTTCAAGAAGCTTCCTGGACTGCCAGAGTTAGGCAATTTTCCACTGTGTCCAGTGGCTTGACCATAGTTACCACCTGATGTGACTCTACCAGTATCTTATGTAAGACTTACATTAACTTAGAAACTGCAAAACAATAATTAGAAACTACATGAGTCGAACCATGGCTTGAATTTGCACAACTAAAGCATCTGTCTTCTGTCCATGACTCAATTATGGTGGCCTCATGGGGTCATGCTTTGTCATTCTGTAAATTTAGGTAATTTAGGAAATACTTTTTCTAGAAGGATTTAGTTCTTGTTTTAGTTATATGTGTACATTTGTGTTCGTGCACTTGAGTGCAGTGCCAGGGGACGCCAGAGGAATATGTCACAATCCCCTGGGGCCGAAGTGATGTGAGCTGATCCATTCTGGCCCCTGGAAACAACTCAGGGCCCCTGGAGGAACAGCAAGTGCTTTTACTTACCCTGACCATCCCAAACCCTGGATGACTTTATATTACAAGCCTAAGCCTGTGCATTCATAAGAATACGGACAGGTCCTGTGTGTGTTAGGATCTCACTCCTGCTCCATAGCTGGCTGTTTCCTCTCTGAACTTAGCTTAGCTTCCTTAGTCTGCGTGGCTGCAGAGAAGCCTGTCTGCTCTTTGTTACTGTTTAATGCTGCCCTGGGCAGTGCGGTGTGAACACTGAAGAGACATGAAGATACCAGTGGCATCCCGTGACGTACTCTAGCCGACAGAACCTTGAAGCAAGCATTCCCACAGAGCCCTGGCACCCACGCCTGTGATGCGAGCTGTGAGTGGGGAGGGGTACGTTCTCATCTCCGTGAGATGAGAATAGCCCTGGTGAGAGGCACGTTCCCAGGAGGCATGTGTGCTGCCATCCCTCCAGCCCCTGACATTGTAAGGATGAAGTGTGTAGGATGTCCATAGGCCCAGGCAGGAAGGCAGTTGGAGCCTCGGTGGGTGGGGTCCTATTCCCCGGGTCCACTCCCTCTTGTCGCGGTGAAGGGGACCAGGTTTCCGTGAATGGCTCTAAGAGCTTTAGCAACAAGAGGGGCTCTGTGCCCTCCTCAGCGGCACCTTTAGACTTCTTCTCTGGCCTCACTGGCATTTTCCAAAGCCCTCTGCTCCCTCACTGAATCTACGTACCGAGCAATGGTCGCAGCGTGGATGTGGCTGTCCGCAAATGTCTTCCGTCGGACAGCTTAGTTCAGTGCTTCAGGTCAGCCTCTCTCTCTTTCTCAGGAAACGGGCAGTGTGAAGCCAGATGCTCTACCTGCATGTGACATAATCACCTGTCCCAAAGCTGTGGTGAGTCCACCTGGTTAAACCCTGCCCGCTGGGGAAGGTGGGGGAGGGGAGGCCCGGGTGAAACCCAGGTCCCGTGAAAATCCTACGATATCGCGGTTAAATAAGGATTCAACCCGATCCTCTCCTGTCCCAGTCCCGCCAGCAAGAGAGCTTCTCCCTTCTCTCCCTCCCACTTCCTTCCACAGGTCACTTCCGCCCATGGCTCCACCCCCAATGGGCGTGGTCAGTGCCACAGAAGGACTATCTCACTACAATCACCTTGCAGCCCAGTTCCCAGTGGGGTCTCCTCCCCTCTGGGGGAGCATATGGATACGCATACACTGTCTGAGAAGCTATGCGTGCTTCTCTGTTTTCTCAGTGTTCTGGTCAAGTTGATAGTGAAGATTAATGTAAATTTAAAATTAATTCTCTTACATTAAACAACAGTGTTTCTTTTTGATGAGCTTCTTAAGAAGTTGGCCACTAGAGGGCTCTTAATACCATCTCTTAATTGATTTAAATGGCTTTTATACATACTGTAGGTGTATCCTAAATTCGTATATAGCACAAAATATTTAGAAGGGCCTAATTTGACTATGGCATAATTATGAGAATTTTTCAAATAGTAATTAGTTTCAGAGATATTTTATTACTCTGAGGAACAAAAGTTACAAAGAGTCTCTTTAAGACACTCAGCTGGTCTCAACACCCAGGCCTCCAAAAAGGAAAACTGAGCAAGCGTGTATGGTGTCTGTGTCTGTGTGTGTGGTGTCTGTGTGTGTGTCTGGGTGTGTGTGTCTGGGTGTGTGTGGTGTCTCTGTGTGTGTTTGTGTGTGTCTGTGTGTGTTTGTGTGTGTCTGTGTGTGTTTGTGTGTGTCTGTGTGTGTGTGGTGTCTGTGTGTGTGTGTCTGTGTGTGTTTGTGTGTGTCTGTGTGTGTGTGGTGTCTGTGTGTGTGTGTCTGTGTGTGTGTCTGTGGGTGTCTGTGTGTGTGTGTGTATCTGGGTGTGTGTGTGTGTGTGTGGGTGTCTGTGGGTGTCTGTGTGTCTGGGTGTGTGTGTGTCTGGGCGTGTTGTTCTTTTGCTGCAGCTAATGCCTATAAAACACAAACAGGAGACTCAGTGCCCACGTGGAATGTATTGAGGGAGGGGAGAGAAAGGGGGTAGCTGGTGGCCAACCGAAAGCAGGAGACAGAGACAGGGAGAGAGAGAAGAGAGAGAGAGAGAGCACAAGGGGGCAGAGAGAGAGGCCGGAGAGAGAGAGAGTGAGGTGCGCTTGCTTTAAAAGGGGGCTTGTGCATGTGTAACTGAGTCCTCTGGCAGCCAGGTAAAAGCGATGACATGGCCATGAGCCGGACGCCCATCGTTGGGGGCGGGGTCAGCAGGCTGTTAGTTCCTAACAGTGTGTGTCTGTGTGTCTCTGTGTGTGTCTGTCTGTCTGTGTCTGTCTGGTACTGGTGACTGAACCTAAGGCTTCGTGAACGTTAGCTTATACTCTTCCACTGAATGATCTTAGGAGCTTTGCTTGTTTGTTTTGTTGTTGTAGTTTGTTTGGATTCAGTGGTTTTGAGACAGTATATCTGTTGTGAAATTTAAGTCCTTGTCCCTTACAGCTCTCTTCCTCCCCACCCAGCTGTAGAACTCCCGTGCTCTCAAGGTTGATCAGACAAGGTTGTTCTCAGAACTTTCCAGTGTGCAGTGCCCATGCCTTGACCCCAGGTGTGGGTGGTGCATGATTTCCTCCTATGCTTAGCTCATCCCCTGGCTTGGGTATATAAGCCCATTACTCTCTGTAATAAATGGAAGCTTCCTCTTCACTTCTCATGGTGGTCTGTTAAATGTTTCAATCCTGACACCCTCCACCAGCTTGGTACCGGGTCTCAAAGTCGCAACATAGGTCATGTAGCCGGGTCTGGCCTCAAATGGCTATATGGCTGAGGAAGACCTGGCACTTCTGAATCTCTGGCCTTCGACACTCAATGCTGGGATCACAGAAATAAGCCATCACCAGTGTTGCATGTGCTCCTGGGGGTCGAGCCCCCGTGCCCCTGCATACTGGGCAAGCACGCGACTGAGCTAGCCACCTCCCACTCCCAACCCCCTTACCCAGTCTAACTCTTTTCAGTGAGCTGTCTTGTGGAGGGGTGATGGCTAACTTTATGGATATATACTGGTATGTGTATTGAAGAGATTGCATTGAGGATTAAGAGACAAAATAAATAGCAAATCAAAACATGTAGAAATTTTCCCTGAAATGACAACATTTAGGCTAAGTGCTAGAAAGTGCTGGTGAAGACTAGTTTTGCTGTTGGTTTGGTTTTTTCGAAAGGGTCTTACTCTGGTCTAGCCCTAACTGCCCTGGAACCCTGTGGACCAGGCTGGCCTGGAACTCAGAGCTCCACCAGTCCCTGGCTCCCGAGTGCTGGGACTAAAGGCATGCGCCACCATGCCCAACTCTGATGCTAGAGTTTTAATGGTTAACTTCATAGGTTTCATGTTTACCAGATGTAATGCACAACATGCCCAGATCGCAGGCTGCTTTATGAACCAACATCTTCCTTTTCCACTCAGTAATTTCCATGGATGCTGACACTCACAGCTGCTTTTTCTTGGTTGCAGACTCCCGACCATGAGGATGAAAACTTGGAAGTCACCAAATGCGAACTGGAGATGCAGCTGCTAAGTGAAGCTGTCTCAGCAGGTATTCTCACCACCCCCCTTGGTGCAGTGCGCAGTGGGGGCACTCCCTTCAGAAAAGGACGCAAGGACCTCGTAGAAAGAATGTTCAAAGCAGAGCTCCTTGGCAGTCTCCCTCAGTCTTTGTCCATTGTCTCTCTACACAGCCCTCTAATTTTAATGAAACTGTAGGATCAAATCAGGTAAGACACTCTATGATGACCATCTACTCAATATCAAGTTACGTACTTAGGAAAACTATATGTCCTGGACAAATGATATTCAGCACTGATCCCAGGATACATTGGGAGCCTGCCTCATTTACTGAAGTGGCTGCACAATTCAACCCACACAAGGGGGCTTTGTGTAAATCCCTGCTGCTAGTGAAATGATGCCTGAGTTCTCCTCTGTACTAACAATGCACTCTCACACACCTGAGCCCTTCACCGTAGCTGTGTTGGACAGATGCACTTGGGAAGGTGAAGGGGATCCCACGCCTGGCTTCTGTCTGACGCCTGCCCTCTTAACTCACTGCTTTTTTTCTCAATGACGCCAAAGAGACCTGTGCTGTATCCTTCTGAGCATATTTGTCATAAGAACCTCTGTCTGCTTTCCTGCATTTCCAATCACACTTAAACCTCTGTGTTTTATTCAGTTATTTAATATTCTGAGGCAGGGTCTCATGTAGCCCAGGCTGGTTTAAAAACCCTATGTAGCTTAGTTTGTCCCTGAACTTCTGACCCACCTGCTTCCACCTTCCAAAGGCAGAGCTCTCGAGCCAAGGTTTGTGTGGTGCGGAGGTTAGAGCCCAAGGAAGGCCTGGTGCATTCTAGGCAAGCATACTGCCCGTTGACTTTTGACGAACCACAATTCCATGATGACCCCCAGCCAGAGATGTCATCACTTAAGCATAGAAGTATTTCTGGCTTCTTTTTATGCCAATAAATTATAAATTGAATACATTTGAAAGCTAGCTGGTTGGTGGCACACGCCTTCAACCCTAGTATTTGGGAGGCAGAGGCAGGCAGATGTCTGAGTTCAAGGCCAGCCTGGTCCACAGAGTCCATTCCAGGACAGCCAGGACTACACAGAAAAAAAAAAAACAAAAAAAAAAAAAAAACTCTTGTCTTAAAAAAAAGAAAAGAAAAAAAGTTAAGGAGTGAAGTTTGTTAACATTCATGAAAAATGCCAGTTGGACCCTGCTGTGGCTTTTTTACGGGAGCCATGCCACCACAGTCCCTGCGAGCTCTACAGGCACCTGCTCACTCTCCTGCCAGATTCGGTGACCCAGTACTACACCATGGATTTTATGGTTGAACAGACTCAGACTGGATACATCAGCTAGCTTTGCGGGGAGGGGCAGGGCCACGTCGGCCAGCCCTGGCTAGCTAGCCCAGCCCTCCCCATGTGGACCTGCCTGCCTGCACCTCCTGAGAGCTGGGGCTAGAGGTGCAAACCACCATGCCTGTGTCTGCTAAGGGTGATGTTTGCCAGTGGCTGTCTGTCTAGGGGTGAGAGGTGAGAATGTCCCGTGTCCTAGCGGCGGCAGGTGTCACATCTCACTGCTCACTCAGACTGCTAGGTCACAGGCTCCTAGTTCCCTGCATTTTCTATGAGCTGGGGGCCTATTGTTGTTAAAATGGCCGTTTTTTTCCATTTGATACATGGGCCAAAATGTACTTTTCCACAACGAACTTCCCACCCAGGTTGGCAGTTTTCGTCAGGTGGTATCCGATTTTAAGGACTTAGTTTAGTGTAATTATCAAGTTTTGATCACACTGCTTCTGTGTTTATGAAATCTGTTTGACCGGTAGCACCTGTTTATTCACCTGTTTATTATTTGTAGCCTCCTATAATGCTAGCGTGCACTGCTAACTGCCCTTCCTACCCCCACCGCTCAAGCGTGTGCAAACACATGCTCCCTTCGAGGCTGGCTACTGAGACTCTTTAAGAACCTTGTGTGACGTGTAGTGCTGGAAGACAAACCACCTGAGCTGAGAAGTACTGGGAATTTGTCATTTCCCTCCTGACAGGCAGAGCTCCAGCCTGTTTTGAAACTGCGCTCGCTAACTGTGGCCCTTTTTAGCACAGCTACACCTGGTGGAGAACTCTTTGGAGATCCCAGAAACCACTCAAGAGTACGAGGTGGACTTGTGCCATTTCTCCACGCTGGGCGGAGTGTACCACCTGGATACCCTAGAGCTGCCCCCCCAGTGCAAACCAGTGAAGGGCTGGATACTCGTAGAGGTAGGGAGATGCTTCGTTTCCCGTGATTTTGGTGTTTACTGTATGTTAATCCTAGTTTTTGGAGAAAGTCTTACCTGTTAACTTAATTGTAAACCTACAATACTAATGCCCCAAAGTGCTAGTTGATCCTTAATACTGCTAGTGTAACATCCCGGAGCTTGGCAAATGTTTTTTTCCCGTTAAATGGCCAGGTGGTAACCATTTTCACCTCGGTAGGTAGGCTGCCCTGACTCTGAGAACCCCACAGCCCTCCTCATCGGCACCAAGGCGGCTGTAGGAAAGGTTGGGCACACCTGTGTTCTAGTTCAGACGTGCTTAAGAGCAGCAGTGGTAGAGGATGTCCCAGAGGATGTCTAGGCAGCCTACGCTGCCCTAGCTTTACGCTTACAGAAGCTTCAGTGGCCTCTGTGACCACTGGAGAATGTTCTAGAAAGGCAAGTGCATAAGTCCCTTATGATACCCACTAAATCAGAAACTCCTAGGCCAGGGGCCCATCTCAGTGGAAGAGTATACTCCTGGCATGGATGGCACTTTGAGGCTGACCCTCAGAACCGATGAGAACCCAGCAGGAGGTTTTCACAGTGCACACCCTGACGGCCGGGCAGCACCCGTGTGACTGTGTAGAGAATGTCCATGAACGATTTTGTGGCGTAGCAGCCCCTGGGGTGTCTGCAAGTGTCATCGTGGTTGGTGGTCTCAGATTCACTGAGTCAGCATTCAGCAACACCCTCACTTTTGTATGAAACCCAGGACCCAGTGGCAGCTGGGTCTGCCAGCACCCGGGGACACTGGGTACACCACCGGGGCAGGGGTCTCCGCTGCCATGGAGTCACCCTGTGCTGGCTCTATCGGAGCTGCCCCATCTCGCACAGCCCCTCCTCGAAGGACCTGTGTTCCCCACGGAGAGCCTGGTGGCTTTGCTTTTGAGACGAGGTCTCACTATGACGCCCAGGCTGCCCTGTCCTATAGCCAGGGCTTTGTGGTGATCCCCCTGCCTCAGCCTCCCGAGTGCTGACTACAAGTGTGCATTGTTGTAATTTATTTATTGTGTGCACGTGCTAACTAACTCCGCCTATGGCCCCCTGAGCATAGATTGCCCTAAGCCGAGTAAATAGCTCCAAATAAAAAGTGTTTCTTATATCTAGGAAACAAAACTTAAACCAAAAATCGATACTGTTGTTTGTTTGCTTGCTTGCTTGTTTAATCCCACATTCCCATTGTCACTGGAGAAGGAAGACGCGTCCTTACACATGATTGGTCAGCTGATCACTTGTGCAGCCCTTCCCAGAACATTGCTTCAAAAAAATTATGCCAAAATCTCAATTCAAAGGCTTGGGTTTGAGCAAGATCCTGTATTAACTCCAGCCGCACAAAACAAGTCACCTTCCACTTGCCAGACAGAGAGAACTTCCAGGCCTGTACAGACACTTTTTTTTTTCTGCTCTCTCCCAGCAAGATTTTAACAGCACAGGTGTGCACGCACCCACCCGCTAAGGTGCTGGATGGACACGGGTTTTATCCGCAGGACTTTTTGCCCAGCTGATTTTAATCAGGCCTCTCCCATGCCCTCTTGTCCCATGAAACGAGAGCAGATCTAAGGGAGACAATGTGGCCTGCACATGCTTCAAAGAATCCAGACGGGAGCACACGAGAGAGGGCATTGCGGTGGCCGAAGAAGACATCGTCCCTTTGGGGCTGGTGATGTAGCTCGGTGGCAGAGTGCGCGCCTAGAAGAAGCCATCCCTCAATGAAGGCGTTAACTCTTTATCCACAGGAAGGCTCAGCCTGAGATGGGCTTTTCAAGAATTCACCCAAAACTCTGTTGTAGTTGAATTGTGTCCATGCCCTGCTGCACCTCTTGGTACCCAGTGTTGGGGTACACAGAGCTCTCCCGCCCACCTAGCTGTGGCTCCTGAGAGGACCGCGTGTGCTCACTTGACTGCCAGGTTCTTTTCATTTCTACCCATGCTGTGAGAGCATTCATCCCATGTTCTGACCCTTCCTCTTCCCCTGGCGCCCTCTGCCGCCTCCGGCCGCCCTTGATTCCAATGGCTCACAGCCCCTCCTTGCCTCAGGAATCTGCTGTCATTGGGAAGTCACCCAACGCTGCTCCGTGGTCACCCACACTTCGGTTCCGAGTGCTTGAGTGTTGGTATGAGCTTGTCTTCCACAGGTCTCCTGATTTCTCTTGTGCCTTGGTAATCGGTTCTATGGATGCGGGCTGGTCATGGGGCTTGAGGTGCTGATAGTGACAATACATCCTGGAGCCTGGCCTACAGGAAGCTCTGTGGTTATGGCTAAGTTTGGCAATGATTTCCCCTCAAACATTTACCTGAGCTTTGTCCCAATGTCTCCTACCCCTTCTGTAGATGCGCGTGACAGCGAGCTGAGCTGGTTAGTGCCTGGCTGTGGCCATCACCTTCTAATTTTCACTGTTCTGGTCACTTTCAAAAGATACGCCAAGAAGGATTACAGAGGTTTACATATCCTCCAGAAACCACAGAAGAACCTGATCCAGAAAATGCCTTTCCGCCCATAGAGGTCACCCTGGAGGTCAATGAGAACGTGATCTTCTTTGAGGACCCCAAGGTCATAAGGTGGGACGCTGAAGGTATGGCCATGCAGCAGGAAGGGCAATGCGCAGGTGGCGGTCACAGCAGGCGGCCCCTCCCCCTCCCCTCCCCCACCCCTTCCCTTCCCCTTCCCTCCCCCACCCCTTCCCTTCCCCTTCCCTTTTCCTCCCTCCCCTCCCCCACCTCTTCCCTTTCCCTTCCTCCCTCTCCCCTCCCCTCCCCTTTACCTTCCTCCTTCCCCTTCCTCCCTCCCTCTCTTTTTTCCTCCCTCCCCCTCCTCTCTCCCATGGTTTTGAGACAGGTCTAAAGCCTAACTGGTCTCCAACTCAAGGTATAGTCAAGGATGGCCCCAGACTTCTTACCTTCCTGCTTCTCCCCGCCAAGGACTGGGATGGAGCCCCTATCCCAAAGCTGGGAGGTGCCACGCCCTCTGAAATCCCAGCCCAGGACTTCTGCAGTTTGCACTAGTTACTGGCTTCTTGTGGTGGAGGGGGTGTTCATGCCACAACATTCATGGACATTACATCACAACTTAGAGGGTCAGTTCTCCCCTTCTGCTCCAGGGAGCCCAGAGATCCAAACTCACATTGCAAGGCTCCATCATGCCTGCCCAGGACAGTCCCTTTAGGAGTGACTAATTGTTTATGTCATCTAGGATTATCCACACCAGACTGGAGGGAAGGCTCAGTGGGCAATAGCATTGGCCACACTGGTGTGGGGACACGTGTCTGGGTCTCCAGAACCCGTGAAAGAGAGAGCCAGGCACTGTAGCAGGCTTCTCTAGCCCCTGGGCTGCTCCAGTGAGTTAGGAGAGATGAAGGCTCATCAGCCTGGCCTGCACAGCTGACACTGAGGGTCTCTGCCTCAAGTAAAGTGACAGCTGCAGCCAAGTGGCGAGTGACTATGGCCTCCAGAGGGCGTTACCTATTCCTCCACATGGCTGTGCTGTCTTCAAGTTCTGTTCCAGCCACACCCCCTTGCTGACACTTGTCACCTGTCTAGTGTGTGTGACGTGATCCTGAACAATGGCCAATTTATTAATGGCCAGTGCTGACCATCTTTTCACTGTTAGACTTGTGCCCACCCTGTTTGGTAAAATGTAAAATCATTTTTTCTATGTTTGTTGAGGCCCAGACTGGCCGAGCTAAGTGCATAGCCCAGGCTGAGGGCCAACTGAGCTGAGGGCCTCCCATCTCCACCTTCTAAGCGAGGGGGCGGTGGCGCTCCCGCCCGGTGCTAGCCCGTCTTCTAAGCTGGGTCTTCATTATTGACTTGTCAGAGCAAAGCATGCCACCTCCTGTGTGAGAGCATTTCTGTGGCATTCTTAGAGGCAAATCTGGAAGTGAGCATTAAAGGGGGTGCACATAAGGGGGTCTTGTTGGGAGGGCTTTAAAAACCTCATTGTACCAGGGACATGGCTGCACAGCTGCATAAGATTGTGCACAGCTGCATAAGATTGTGCGCTTACAAACAGGAGACTTTTACAGCTGCTTTAAAACAGAAGAGAAAGGGCTGGAGAGCTGGCTCAGTGGTTAAGAGCACTTGCTGCTCTGGCAGAGGACCTGGGTTCTGTTCTGAGCGCCTACGTGGCCACTCACAACCATCTGTAACTCCAGTTCCATGGGAGCTGGTGCCCTCTGCTGGCTTCTCTGGATATTGCATGGAGTTGGCACACACACACACACACACACACATAAATGAAGGCAAAATATATAAAAATGAATAACAAATTTGGAAATGACCCCTGAAAGTATAATCTTAAACAACAACAAAAACCTTAAAAATAAATATAAAACAGAGCCCAGTGGTCATAGCACGTGGCTTTAATTCTTGCACTTGGGAGGCAGAGGCAGGCCTGTCTCTATGCGTTCAGGACAGCCAGACATACACAGATAAACCCTGTCCCGAAAAACCAAATAAATAAATAAATGAGTAAAGAACCTCTGTATAGGACTAGGGAAGAAAGCAGGCATGCTCCTGGGCACAGGCAGGAGAAGGGACCCAAAAACAAGTGGGGGATATGGCAAGGGACAGAGACAGGGCAAGTACTGTCTCCACTTTGTCGTGCAGAATGTGCTGGGGTTTGGACTGCACCCTGGAGGCAGGGCTCTCCCAGCAGGGGGCGCTCTCCCTTGAGAGTCCTAACACAGAAGACAGCACACACTGCAAGCTTGTACTTAGATGTTTTTACTCATTTCTATAGGAGAGGCATGAAACTAACGTCAGCTTCTTCTGCCCTGAAGGTAAATTCTGGAAGACGGATGGCATCAGCAGCGTCTTTTACGATCGAGAAGACAGGCTCATAACCTTCAGTTTGGACACTTTGGGCCCTGTGACCCTGATTCAGGACGCCCATATCAACATGCCCTACCAGTCCTGGGAACTGCGGCCCCTCGATGTCAACAGGGCCATCCTGACTGTGACTACGCTGTTCACTGAGCTCCAGATACAAATCAGGGTAGGTGACTCCACAGCCGGCCTGTGGGTTGAGTAATGAGTCTGCCAGCAGTGAAGATCACGGAGTCAGAGAGCATCAGCGTGTAAGATGGAGGTCTCTGCTTGTCCCCCGGTGCTAGGGGTGGCCCAGCACCCAGCAGGCCATCTGGGTACGGCATCTTCATCCTTGTTTCTGGGGCTCCTCTGGGGCTTGTCTTGCTGAGTGAGACTGTTCCCCCTCAGGAAGTACACAGCCTCGGAAGCCCCAGAGGAGTGGATTCGTGCCGCAGGCTAAGGGCAGGGCAGAAGACCCACTGTACAGCAGCCTGAGGGACTTTCTTAGGTTGCATGGAGAAGTTTTAAAATACACATGGTGAGGGTATAACCCTCCAGTTTCTGAGAATCACTGGTGAGTCTGTGATACGCAAAATGGAGCTGTTTTAAGAAGAGCGGTAATCCGTCTGAATACAGCAGAGATACTAACGGGCCACCATATTTGAAGCCCCTGTGGGACAGGCATGGAGGTTACCCTAACCCTTTAATCCCAGTGCTTAGCACTCAGGTTCCAGCCAGAGAGAGTCACACTGTGAGCCTTGTCTCAAACAAGCCAGCAAACAAAACAAGTAAAGCCTCTGCGGGGTCATTGGTGACTTCTCGGGCCCTTAAAACACTGGCAGCCTGCCCTCAGTCTGTTAAAGTACACAAGGTATTGCTAGGCCAGCCTCTCTGCCCCACCCAGGCTCCCTGCCTGACTCCCAAGAATCCTGCCCCAGTGCAGGGAAGACACTGTACATGATTCTAGTCTGATGGGCAGAGTGTTGGTTTATGAACATGCGGGTCATAGATGAAGGGACTCTGGCCAGCTGGAGCTTGGCAGTGCTGAACACTGTGAGATAACAGTTCTAGCACTGCCCAGGTGCAGCTGTCCAAGTGCTGAAGTTCAGCACTCAAGAGCTTTTGCCTTGAGTCTCCTAATTAGCATCCTAGTGGAAAGGTTACCAGGGCATCCTAGCCCATCCTTAACAATTGCACCTGCAAGGTCAGAGTCAGAAAGCGGAGCCTTGAACTTGGATGGGGTTTGTGCCTAATCTGAGGTCTGGGAGGGAGCCACCCCCTCCCCCACTAGTGCGTGGAGTGTGTGTGAGTGGGGGGGGGCAGGGTCGTCTCTTTCAGTAGAGTGTAAGTCTTCAGGTCAAGGTTTCGGGTTCCCATCCCTGTGTCTTTACAATCAACTGACTTCACTTTTATATTGATAGACACTGAGATCTTTTAGATGAAGAATAAATACACAAACTCTGCGCCCTTCAAAACTGGATAGTTTACAGCATGTGAAATCTCACACGTGTTAAAAATTAAGAATAAGCCCTAACAACACAGTCGTGATTTTTAATGGCCACTTTAATTCAGAATGAGCATAGAGTGCTCTCACGTTTCCTAAACCTATCTGGGTCACCATTTCTAATCCCTCAAGTGCCCAGGGGGAGCCTAGGAAGTTAGTGACCTGAGACAAAGATGGGACCTTGAGGCGATGGAACCCCGTGGCCGAGCTTCAGGATCCCAGACCCAAGGCCCGCCAGCTGCATTGGGCAGCTGTAGAGAGCGTAGGGTTTCAGCACTAACACACACAGAGAAGGCTGGGCCGGGAAGACCACTGACTTGTCTTTCTCTTCCCGACACTTAGGAAAACCTCTGCATGTTAGCGTCAACCAAAGTGAGAGGCCAGGAGCACGTGTCTCACTTAGAGGGAAAATGGCTGACCCCCGTGCCCTTCATTCTGGCCTTGAAGGCGGCAGGGCTGAATATCTTCCCCGATGTATATTCCCACTTCTACGTGGTCATCAACAATAAGGCGCGTGTGTGAGTCTAATGCAGCGGGATGAAACTTGATGGGGCGGGGCCGGAAACCTAGAGTCCCCTCCCCCCGTTAATAATCTGAAGGCCTGAGGCGTGCTGGGGGTCCTGGGGCGGGGCCGGAAACCTCGAGTCCCCTCCCCCAGGTAATAATCTGAAGGCCTGAGGCGTGGTGGTCGCTTGTAGCCAAAGCAGCCCCAGCTACTGCTCATTCCGGTTTTTCTCCCCATCTCCACCAACCTGCAAGACATTTCCTTCCTAATGCCCAGCACAGTCCCGTGTCTGTGCTGGTCTGCCCTCCTCACAGGGGCTGCTGCTGCGAGAACAGGCCCTTATGCTGTTGTAGCAGCCAGCCCGGCCCCGGCTGCCAGTGATTGGTAACACCCTGTCATGAATGGAGCCGCGGGGGCTCTGAATCATGGGGTCCGTGTGTGTGCACCACATGTTCTGTAGTGGAGGACATGCCTGTGGCTTTCTGGTGTCTTCTCACCTGGCAATCGTGTACTGAAGGGTATGGACATAAATGCATAGGTAGGACAAGGTGGTTTTAGTGACTTAAGTGTCACAGCAGGTACTGCCCTGCTCCCGTCTGTAGAACAGTTCCTGCCCTTGTAGCCAAAAGTGCCATGGTCAAAGCAAAACAGGTGAAGAGGGAGGCGGTGTGGGGTCCTTGGCAGGCTGCTGAGGAGGGGCTGGGCTGCAGGGCAATCAAAGCTGGGGGCGTGCAGCCCCAGGGTGTCTGGGGGAGCTCTTTCTGGTAGAATCCCCCCCACACACACACTGCAGCCAGCCACGCCCTCCAGAGCAGCAGCCTGCCGTGTCTGCAGAACAGGAGGCCCGGGAGCCGGAACTCTCAGGAAGGGTGCAGTGATGGGGACAGCTCCCTGGGGCTTTGTGGCCACTGCTCACTTTAGGGAGTGTGGGAAATGGAAACCCTGACTTCAGATTGGGAGTGAGGATGCTCATGGGACACCCTCAGACTGACTGAACTTCGCCCTCTGCAGGTGCCCCTTCTGGAAGTGAAGGCCTACCGGCAAATGGCCCTGCTGAGCTCCGCTTTCGCCTTCGGCTGGAGCAAGTGGAACATGGTCTGCAATTCCACACGCGTTGTGTTCAGGGTACAGTATGCAAAACCCATAAGCTACCTGCCTTGTCCTCTAGAGAGGACACACTCCTGAAGAGGTGACAGGCATTCAGCATGTTGCTGGGAAACTGAGCTAGTTCTGGCTTCACCCGCTATGTACCATATGCTGTGACCTTATGTCTGTGTTGACCCCAGAACAGAGGTGGAAACCATGTTCATGGCCCTCTGTGGAGGTCAGGCCTGTATCGTAACTTCTGACACATGCTTGATGCATAGAAAAGACAGTTTGATGGACATTTTCTGTGAGGCAGGCTGAAAGCCAGAGCCTCAGACACACTGCGTGTATGCTCTGTCACGGACCTGTCATACATACATACATACTGTGCCTATGCTCCGTCACTGAGCTGCTACCCACCTGGACCCTCCCTCACCGCCACAAGGCTTGGCAATAGATGTCCGTACCAAGCAGCCACCATGTTCCTTTCTCCTCTGAGAGCCGGGTCTGGATGGTGCCCTCGGTCTCTGGGTGGGGCACCCCACTGTTCCCTCAGCTTCTAGAGCAGTTCGTGGGCAGCATCTGTCTCGTGGATACATGGCAGACGCTCCATAGATACCGAAGTGCATATAGCTTTGGATTTAAAACAGCTCGGCCATGGGGCGTGCAGTCAGGCATAGGCCTTTACTCTGGGACCAGGGAGGCCGAGCCAGCCTGGTCCAGCAGTGGCACCAAGCTGCCCCTTTTTCTGTGTGTTCTGGCATCTTTCCAGGTAAAGGAGGACCTGGAAGAGGGCGTGGAGAACCAGCCTTGGTCGCTCCTCATGTTCAGTGGGGACAGAGCACAGATGCTCAGGGTGTGGGAAGACAGTGACGTATTCTCTGAGGCCCTCAAGGAAGACACCGAGTTTCACACCACCTTGTACCACATGGTGAAGGACTTCGCCTCACCAGAGGCGATGGAGAGGGTGAGGCGTTCGGACTGCCAGTTCATCGACTCGGTGTGCCACATGCTGCTGTCCATCCGGGTCCTTAGCTACTCTTAGCCTTCACAGCCTGTGTGAGAGCTGGCGAGACCCTCAGGCCCTGCAGGAATCAGGTGCCCCTCCAGGTGACTGAAGTCAGTGACCTCAGAGCACTCTATTGTAGTCAAGCTGCATGGAGATTTGAACGGCTCTTTATTACGGTACATTTTAATAAAGTACTACGTCTCTCTCAGAAAGCTCATTAAAATACCCGAGGTAGGGTCCCTCCCTCCCTGTGCCATCGCTGGGGAAGTAAGGTATCCCAGCTGCTCTGAGAACCTGGTTTGCATTGTAATTACCAGAAAGTTACTACTGTAAGACTCTCAGAAGGAAATGTTCGGTCATGCTGGCGGGGGCCCGTTGTGTCTGAGTCTGGTAAGGGGCCATAAGATGTGTTCCAGAGACGCCCAGGAGGTCCCTTCCTGTGTGGGTGCAGCCTCCACCGCCATCTGGAAGAACTCGCCTGTCAGGAGACTCATCAGTGCTGCGAAGAGCAGGATGACCACAGAGAACCAGAGCACCCTGTTGGCCCTGCTGAAGGATGCCTGCAAGTGAGTGACCCAGGAAGCCACCGAGCTGCAGCTGTGGGGAGGGCACAAAGGGAAGGGCAGTGAGCGTGTGCAGCCCAGACACTCTCCTTCGCTGGTGGCACTGGTCACTGAGTACCCCACACACACACACACTGCCCTACCGCATGTTAGGATGGAGCCTTGGTTTAGGGTAACGTCTGCTCCCCACCATTAGTGGGAGAATGAGGGATAACCCTGCTGCCAAGCTGGGAACGTGACGTAGGCGCTAACTCTGAACACATTTATCTCAGCCCTCCAGTCACGTCCCATTAAACCCAGTGCCCTTCTTGCAGAGTCAAGTTCCTGCACGGTGGAAACCGGGCTTAGGGAGCTACCGTAGGGGACCATCCCCACCCACACCGCGTAGTCCTAACAGTGCGCGTGTGTGCGTGCCCTTCTATGCCCTCCCGCTCCAGTGAGTGAGCAGCCTACACCGCAGTGCGGTCCCAGGTGGACAGGCTGCTCCTCTTCTCAGAAACGCTGGCCTTCCTGGTCCTGTCCACCGCCTCTTCTCCCGCGGCTTCCGAGGCATCTCTGGTTCTGCAATTAAAGTTTTGAACATCACCGAGGTTTTACTACATAGTTCAACGTGGTCACAAATACCAAAGCCTAAGTGTTAGACCACCAAACTTAGAGGAGTTTTAAAAACTTCAGTGTAGTAGCTGGCCAGAAACATCCACAAGAGGGAATTCAAAATTACCAGCGAGTCTTAATGACGTCTATTCAATAGTGTGGATACATGTGCACACCTTTGCCCATACTTTAACGGCACGTAGATGACACGTTTCCTGAAACGGCCACTACGTGGTAGACAACGTTACTGTCTTACTTCCTACTTTTAGCATCTTCTGTGGCAGCGGATTGCATTTGTTCTCTGGTAACGCCTTCTTAGTTTTGAGATGGGGTCCACCCTGGCTGACCTCACCCTTGGAGTGATCCTGTCTCTGCCTCCTGAGAGCAGGGATCTCAGGCATGCTCTTCTGGCTTTTTCGGTAGTGTTCTGGATGTTTGGTATGAACTGTCATCCCTCTAAACATCTTAAACAAGCTAGTCCTCAGAGCCCGGGGAGGGGTCTAGACTGGGTGCTAATAACCTCAAGAGGGTGCACTCCACCTGAGCAAACGTACTTTCAAAGCTAATGGCTCCTGGCTGGATATGAATTTTAACTCGGGATGTTCAGCGAACTTCTTAATCTCTGTCTTCTGTTTACAAAGACCGAGTGAAGCCATAAGCAAACAGTCTTAGGAAGCACTTGGCATTTTCCCAGTAGCTGTCATCCATCCCCATAACTGCATCCTGTGGGAGCCCGGCCCACAGGATCCTGGGTTTGCTGGAGGAGCCCAGAGAGTGTGTTTAAATCACTTTAAATGAGAGGCCTGAGGGGGAGAGGCTTTAACGGGCGGGCGCCAAAACAGAGTAAGGGGGCGGGGCCGGGGGCGGGGGCGGCGCTGTGCCCCACCTTTTACCCCCGCTTCCACTGTGGAAGCTTACAGCAGACTTCAATTCATTAGGTTTGCTAAGCAGACTCAGGAGGCTAAGACGGGGGCTGCCGTGAGCTTGAGGCCAGCTAGGGAAACACAGCAGTCCCTGCTTGTCACAGACAAGCGCTGCCAAGCAGAGGATGGGATGGCTCTGCTTTGCATATGACGGAGGACTATGCCCGTCACCTCACAAAGGGCGTGTGTTATAGAAGCTAACATGTTCTGTATTCATGTCTGCGGTTAGTACTTTTGTGGCTCTGGCACTGGGCAGTCCTAGATCTGAGAAATTCCAGGGAGTTTTCTAACTTAAAACGTGGCCACACTATCCCCATATGACATTTACAAAGCGGTTCCCTTCAGGATGGCTTCCCAGTCTGCGGGCTGCAGCTCACAGCAGGTCAACAGGGGTGCACCTACTTGACAACACATTTCTCATCTTCCGCGTCTGCCCAGGAGTAGGTGCTGATGAACCGGTGCAGGGAGGGGCGGTGCTCACTCTGCTTTGTCCCCAGAATTCTCCTGCGCGAAGACGATGGCCATACTGTACATTAAACAGAGCTGTACCTGGCGTCGGTGTCCCCTTACTGCTTAAGTCAATGCAGGTAACACTCTCATTCCCCAATGCAACTGCCACGCCAGAGTGCCCGCTCCAGTGTCTGTGCAGCTCACACTCGGAACAAATCAAAGGTTATTATTCGTGTTCATGCGCTCGAGACCAACTCAAGCTTGCCGTCAGTTCCCAGAGTGTGGGCACAAGTCACACTCACCAGCTGCTCGACCGCCGGCTGAATCTGTCATCATCTTCTATCCCGTACACCTTTAATGATGAAATAGGAGTTCAGTGAGGGAATTACATTTCTGTCACTGAGACAGGTGACTTCACTTCTGAGGCAGGGACCTCCAAGTGCTCTTACCATCCCCATATTTCCAAGATTTCTGGGCAAAGAGGCAATCGTCACTCTTCGAAGAGACGAGGGCTACACAGGAGAGAGGGCACAATTGGAGAACCGTGGGATCGCATCCTTGCCATGGCCTGTGCTCAGCTGCCAGGTAGCTGCTGAGCATTCAAGGACCTTGCATGGAAAAATCAACTTTCGGAACTATCTACCAGTTTATATTCTGTCGCTCCCCTCCCCCCCCCCGACCTTGATTTTAGCTTTCACTAAGAACGTTTCTCATCTGGGTTTTCATTTACGTGGTCCCACTTATCCCGAACACCTTTGCTGTGGAATCGCAATTCATGTATTTGCGCTGAGAAACACGCTTATACTTATGTCCATCTCCCCCTATATTTTTCTAGAAGACGAACTGCATTAGAAAACCTGAGCTCAAGAGGAAGTCAAGATTCACCACACTTACAGCTTCTCTCGCAATTTTTCCAACAATACATTTAAAATCCATGGAACTTTTGCTAAATGCATTTTAACTAATACACAGAAAAAATTTACACACTAGTGGGGGATTAGTGGCTTCGTTACATACGTGTTCATGTGGTGTGATACCTACATCAGGTTAAACATCTCTCTCCTCATGTTGGGGTCAGTTTTTAAAAACTGGAACTCTTGAAGTGTTTCCCGAGCTGCTGTTGCTTCTAAGTCATCTACTAAGCAACAGGGCCAGGCTTGCCACTTACCCCAGACTCTGCCTCAGCTGGGGTAACTGCTATAATATCTATAAACTCACCACGCAGTGCACGCAGTTCCCAGGTCTCAGGCTCCGCATTGCTTGGCGAGACAAACTTTTTAGGCCCCATCATAAACGAGATGGTATATTTTTAACAAATAAATGGGTATATTGGCCTGAGATTTGCATGGGAGAGTATTATATAGTATTGTGCAGTGTAGATAAATGCCATTGAGAAGTTAAAAACTGTTTTAAATGCAGTAAATAAATTGTCACCTCAGCCGTATTAAATGAACTGGGGCATTAGTGAGGCACCTTCCTGTGTGTGTGTGTGTGTGTGTGTGTGTGTGCGTGTGCGTGTACAGGGCCCTCCCCTCACGGCCCCCTCCTGCTCTACCTTCAGCCTGCTTTGTTGCCCAGCAGATAGGCCTGGAGACACCCAGGAAAAAGGCTCTGTCCCCAAAGTGGGGGTGTGGGGTGTGGTGGAGACTTCCAGGGCCGCTCGCACAGGGCGGTGACGGGGCCCTCTGTCCCTCTCCCTCTCTGTGTGTGTGTGTGACTTGACTTTGCAGTAAGGATGCAGCCTGGCTCTGAAGCAGAGAGGGGTGGGGTGGGGTGGGGTGGGGTGGGGGGGCAGGGCGAATGTGTGTGGGGGGATCTTGAGAATCTAATCCATTGCTCTGCTCTTGTCTGCTTGCCTGGACCGGGCTTTCCTGGTGCTGCTGGGCCATTTTGTTTGACACACAAACACAACACGAGATAGAACGGTATGCCTCAAACAGATACATACATGTGTATATTCATGCATGAGAATTTAAATCAGTTCTGTGATTTTCAGTAAAACGCACGTACTTCAAATACTAGACATTTCATGAGCATTCTGTCAATGATGAAATCAGTAATTACCTTGGAGTTTAGAGAAGATGAACGTTTTTTAATCTGACAGTCATCTAAAAGGGAAACATTTTCACGTTAAAGTTTTCTGTGAATTCTTGTGTGTGTGTTGCATGTCTGTGCACCATGTGGGATCCCCTGGCACTGGCTTAGACAGTCGTGAGCCACTGTGTGGATGCCGAGACTCTGTAAGGGCAGCTTTAGACAGTCGTGAGCCACTGTGTGGGTGCCGAGACTCTGTAAGGACAGCTTTAGACAGTCGTGAGCCACTGTGTGGGTGCCGAGACCCTGTAAGGGCAGCTTTAGACAGTCGTGAGCCACTGTGTGGGTGCCGAGACTCTGTAAGGGCAGCTTTAGACAGTCGTGAGCCACTGTGTGGGTGCCGAGACCCTGTAAGGGCAGCTTAACCCCCGAGCCATCTCTCTGCCCCACATGGTTACATTTTAAAAACCACACGTGCATTTCTGTCAAGTGAAGGCCAAAAAGGTTTACTAAAGACTCTGCAGGAGACTAAGACAGGATTGCCGTGGGTTCAAGGCCAGCCTTGGCTACAGAGTGACACTGTCTCAAGAAACTAAAAACAAAAGACTCTAGGAACCACTGGGCAAGGTAAATGTTTATCCTACTTTTGTGGTGCTGAGGCTTGAGCGCAGGGCTTTCTACATGTTTGGAAAGCACCCCCCCACTGAGATACATCTCCAGCCCCAACAATCCCATATAAAGCACTAAGACCCAAGTCTTAAACCTTCTGCAGTTGTCCACGGTGCCTGTGAGCATGCAGAAGGACGTCAAATATTGCTGCTGCTCAAAAGAGGGAACACAGCTAAAGTAACCCTGTTCACAAAAACTCGTACTGTTTACTTGAAACCAGTGCGGGCTGGAGAGGCAGCTCAGTGGTTAGGCACAGCGGCTGCTCTTGCAAAGGATACCAGTGTAGGTCCCAACACGCACGTGACAGCTCACAGCCATCTAAGTCCAGATCAAGTATTCTCTCCTGGTCTCTGTGGGCACTGCATGCACATACATGCAAGCACCGATGCCCCACGAAACAAAAAGGAATAGGAACTAAGATTCTCTTGTCTGTTTTCAGCTCAGACAGCTGACTGTGCTAGGGTAAAGCCCTCCTTCCAGGATCCAAACTAAGGCTGGCTTGTGTCTCACACCATGGTGTGTGGAGGAAGAGCTCTAACACCCCGGCTAGACTAGCGTCTACTTAACATGTTCGACTAAGTTAGTGCCTTGTCTCTGTGATCTAAATTGACTTAATGAATTCTGAGAGCATTACCTAAGGGTTTGTCTGGGGGTCCCCCCCCCCCCCCGCCTATTTGTCTGGTTTTTCTCAATATTGTATATAAACCCCAAGAAAAAGATACTTTTCTAATATGACCTTAACATAAGGATCTTACTCCACAATGCAGTAAGGGACATGAAAGAGGACACTGTTAGGGAAGGAAGCATAACTATTATCTTTCCAAAAAAAAAAAAAAAAAAAAATCTATGTAAGCCAGGCACGGTGGTGCGCACCTTTAATCCCAGTACTTGAGAGACAGGGGCAGGTCTATCGCTAAGTTTGAGGCCGCCCGCATCCACATAGGGAATTCTAGGACAGCCAGAGTTACATAGAGAGATGCTATCTCAAAAACACAAAACAAAACTACACTGACGAAACTGAGCGTGTGACTTGCATGTGGGCGCAGGTGCCCATGGAGGCCACTAGAGGGCACCAGAGTTTCGGGCCTTTGTAAGCCCAGGGCCGCGGCTGTTCCCGTCAGTGTCATTACCTTGGCCTTCCAGGGGGCTGAAGGACCTCTCATTGTGCAGCAGAGCCTGCTTCAGCTCCTCCAGCTCGGCGTGCTCCTTGGCGTACATCCTCTTGAGGTTCTCCACGTGCTGAGTCATCAGCTCCACGGCTTTGCTTACCCGGCTCTCCTGTAAGAGCCGACTTCCGTCACTCCACCCTCAGCGCTCAATCAGAACGCACTCTTGGGAGTGGCAGGGCGCCTGACGCCCCCCCCCATCCCTACGACCCCCACACCGCTACCTGATTTGCCCTTACCTGCCCTTACCTGATTGATGGCCCCCAGCATCTCTGCCCTGCTGGCCACACGTGCAGTGCACTGGCTGAGAAACGATATACTCTTCTCCAGCTTCTTAATGATCTCCTGAGCCTGGTTGTCATCTTCACACAGAGGTGCTAATGACTGCATGGAAAGTGAAGCGTTAAAACGCCCAACAGTGTTCTCCACACCGGCTAAACCTTGCCTATCTAAGCATCCCGAGGGAGGGCGAAATGCGTCACCAAAACCCGGCACTGGGCATAAAAACCTTGTCGGTGACAGGGACACAATGCCCAGTCTCTCCCTTCCTGTTATGTCCCCACATGCACACTCACAGCTTTACCCCATGGTTCACAAGGCAGGATGCAGATAGACAGACAATGCCCGTAAGTGGGATGTGTCACACCAGGACAAATTGGCGTTTTGAGAGGGGTTTTGAGAACTATGTGGGAAGGGTTGAGAGGCATGGCCTTGCTGGAGGAGGTGTGTCACTGGGGGAGAGCCTTGAGGTATCAAAAGCCCACGCATTCCCAGGGAGCTCTGTCTTGTCCTTGAGGATGAGATGTGAGCCCTCAGCCACCGGGCCAGCACCCTGCCTGCCTCCTGCCTGCCTGATGCCATGATCGTCAGGGACTCACCCTCTGAAACAGTAAGCCACAATAACTCTTTCTATAAATTACCTCGGTCGGGGTGTCTTAGCACAGCAATGAAACAGTAACCAAGACACCAGCTGAGCAGAGGTATTCATCTTTGTCTACTTAACCGGATCCCACGTGACCAGCTGCCTCATGCACCTGACGTCATGGCTTGGGCTGTTCTCGTTAGAATGCCTCTGGCCATGATGAACTATGAACTTAAACTCTGAGCCCTAATAAATTATTTCTTCCCTAAATTGCTTTTGCCAGGTACTTTGTCACAATAACTGATGGATATCCAGTATCCTCTCGTGGCTAGGTGTGGCCGGGCTGGCTGGGTGCATGTGCTACTGTTCCTTACCCAAACTCACGCCCTCTACCTCCACAATATCTTTCAAAGCCACCCTTCCCAGCAGGAATGAAGAACAGACTTGAGAGCAAACAAGTGACTGTCTGTGTGACTGAGCCCATGTCTAAGGCTGTCCAAATCTAAAGTGCCATGAACTCTGCGGGAGGCACTATCACGTCTATTGTTCAGACGGCTATTGTTCAGAAGAAGTTCTGCCAGTCACACCACCAGGCACCAGGTAGACTGCTTAATAACCCTGAGAATGCAAAGCTTTGGCCTTTCCAGTTTGCTGTTAGGTACTTTAAAATAATACTACAACACGACAGGTAGCAGCAGCCTCCGGCCCTTGTTATCACGCAGGCACAGTAAATGGCAGCCAACAGAAATGGCCTTGTCAGATGCACAGTTTCCTACAGCGGATGCAATAACCAGTCGAGAAGGGACGAACAGATGTGAGTAGAAAGCAAAGCAGAATGTTCCTGACTACAGAAGAAGCATGAAGAGGTAACTTGTCAAAGGCCTGGGACAAATGACTTCCCTAAGGAATTCTACTGAACACTAAAGAAAAACTCACACAAACACTTTTAAAACCCTTCCCAAATGAAGCACGATTATTTGCAAGGTCATTCTATGAGAACTCATTACCTTGATATTAAGGTGGAACAGATGTTGCACGAACAGTTAACAAATAACCCTGAGGAATTCTAATGCTAACTCTTCAGGGAAATACTGAATTTAGTACATCATGGCCAGATGGAATTTATTGCTAGGATACAAGGTTAATTCAACACGTGAGACTCGTTTGAGATAATATACCACACTGGTAGAAAACAAAACCACACAATTATAGCTAGCAAGAAAGGAGCATAATGAGATTAGGCTGAGCATCCACAGCTAATACTACGCCCCCATGTCATGATCTGGGAGCTGGTTGGTGGCCCAGGAGAAAAAGCCTGGTACACAAACACACAACACAGCTGGCGAAGTGAGTTAGAGCACATGTGTCATGGCATGCTCCCCCCCACCCCCCCACCCCCGCAATAAACAAGTATAATTGTCCTCTTCCTTCATGTGTGCCCAGTGACATGTGCCCCCCCATACACACAAAATAAGGAAGCAGAGTAAAGTAATTTTTAAAGAGCATACTGCACACTCTCAGACTTACAGAACGCAACAGAAGGCTAAGAAAACAGCTCTTACGCCTATGATCAAATGATCTTTGAGAAGGAAACTCCCTTTAAGAAGGGATGTGTCTTCCAGAAATAGCATTTAGAAAAGTGCATATATACCACGTGCAAAAAAAAAAAAAAAAAAAAAAAAAGTTAACTAATGGCTGATGATGTGACTCGCAACTGTGGTCCTAGCACGTGAGAGGCGGAGGCAGGAGAATACCTATGAGTTCAAGCCAACCTGGTACAGATACTGAGTGGCAGTCCAGCCAGGACTATATAACTACAGCCAGAGTCTATCAAAAGCAAAGAACGGGAAGGAACAGGGCGGGGGAGGGGGAGACGGAGGGGTAAGCATGTGACTACCAGCACAGGCTCACCTCTAAAAGCTTTAAACAGTTGGTGATTTCTTTCTTCAAGTTCTCCTCTGCCAGGTCCCGCGACCTCTCTTCAAGCCTTACTCTCTTCTCCAGAGTAAACCAGTCACACTTCAGACCCAAAGATAACCTGAGAAATTCTGCCTGTGGCCACAACAGTGTGGCCACAAGGAGAGAAGTTAGAGGAGGTCCTGGGCACAGGAGAGGGGGCTGGGGAAGAGAGGCGGGAGGGGAGGGGAGGGTGGGAGAGGGTAGAAAGGCGGACATTTGCTTTCACTAACCTCCACCTCCTTCTCGCTAGCCCAAGTGCTGCAGAGGAGACAAAGAGCTTACTCAAAGATGACCCAAGAGAAAGACAGACTCCAAACAAAGTCCCTGGGAAGGGCACTCACTTCTCACTCTGCTGAAAGTTAACTGACTTCACGGGCGCTTTGGGAGGTTCTGAAACCTCGGATTCTGTGGAAAGACGGTTAAAGACATCAGGTTAAAGACAGTTAACGCCGCCCCAAAGCCTATTTCCATCGAGTGCTGCTACATCCTACCTTCGCTTTAAAAGCAAGACCTGTGTTTCATGTCAATGTCCTAATGGACAGGCAGCTAAGGCTCCTGCTTACACAGTAAGAGAATCCACACTGTTCCTCTGTGTGCCAATTGTGCATGGGAACCAAAGATGACCCAGAGTCAGAGGACCCTGCTGTGTTCGATCTCCTGGGATTTGAGTGAGCCCCCGCTGTCCTGGCTCAGCCTTGCATCAAGACTGTGAAAGCGGCAGAACTCCAGGCACGTCTGTGAGGGGACTCCTAGACTAGGTCAGATGATGTACCGTGCCACCACCTCTAAATGTGGGTGGCAGTGTCCTTGTCCCAGACAAGATGGACAGACAGTGGGCGGAGGACCAGCACAGCCTCTCTGACACTCCTGGCTGTGGATACAGGGTACCAGCTGCCTCTCGCTGCTATCTCCGTGACTTCTGCATCACGATGGACAGTGTCCGTCAAGTAACAACCTTCCGTCCTGTGGCTGGCTTTGTCAGGTATTTCTCTACAGCCCCAAGAAAAGCAACTGACTCAGGGAGTGTTGGTAGGCATGGCAACGGCCTTGCGGCTCCAGGACAGTTTCTCTATCACAACAGTTTTCTCTGTGGCAGCTTTGCAACATGAGCAACATCGGCTTTAAATTTGACAACACTTGGCTTAAAGCTCTGACTCTCAGACATGCGATGTGACCAAGTCAGGACCTTGTCAAGCCACCTACGTGATAGGATATGACTTTATCTAAGTATCGAGTCCCATGAGGGTATCACAGCAAACCCTTGGTGGTGAATGGTTGCACTATTTTTCTGAGGCTGTAGAACCACTGTTTACCTGCTGTGCCTTGCATTTGAGGGGCTGAAAATATACAGATAACATAGCATAATGCTCTAATTATGATTATGGTATGATTTCAATAAGATTTGGTTGGTTGGCTGGTTTGTTTTTGGGGGCTTGGTTTTTTTTTTGTTAGGGGGGAGTTGAAGACAGGGTTGCATGCAGCCCAGGTTGACTGTGAGCACACTTATACCTAAGACTGATCCTGAGTTTCTGGCCTTCCTACCATTAGAGGTGTTGCCATTAGAGGTGTGGGCCACCGGCAATCAGACGCAATGCCTCACGCATGCTAAGCAAGTACCCTATCAACTGAGCCACGTCCCCAGCCTGAGATAGTTATTTTTCCAGTCAACGTTCCCATTTTTCAAAAGAGAAAATGGAAGGTTAAGTACCTCACTGAGATCACAGAACCAGAGACAGACTCAGCCTGGACCGCCTGTGAGGAGGAGGCAGGTTACCCTGTTTTGTGAATCGTAGCAAATTTACTTTCATGTATGGTACTGAAACCTCAAAGTAGTCAACAGACTAGCTCGTCACACTGGCTTACTTTTGGCTACTCTTGGCACCAGCCAGGCAATGCAATGGCACCATGGCGTTTTGGAAATGAGACACAAGACTTGGTCCTCTTGGCTGACCCTATCCCAGGATTCGGAATGTGTTGTGGGTGGCAGACACAGCTTTACCTACAAAGCATCAAGGGTAACTAAGAGTCCTCTCTCTCTCTCTCTCTCTCTCTCTCTCTCTCTCTCTCTCTCTCTGGGGTTGCTTGAGCACGTCTTACCCCTTGCGATGTGGTCCTTCCCTCCATCTTCTACAGTTTTGAGTCCCTCTCCTGCTTCCTGAAATTGGAAGAACATTTTATTGTCATGTGTTGAACGGAAATCCTTCAGAAGCAACCCTCCATGCTTCCTGTCTTCCCCTGGCCCAGGTCTATCAAAGTCACCCTGCAGAACCCCCGTGGACTGGAATAGAGGTCAGCGCAGACAGGGCCAGCTCCGAGGACCTAGTTGAGGTCAAAGTGACATAAACGTAAGGAGCTGTGAAAGGGACAAAAGTTGTCACAAAGGACACTAAAGTGATGTGCATGAGGAGGAGAGAGCCACCAGGGGCTCCGGCGCAGGAGGGTCCCTCAGCCAAGGAGACACAGGGCCCTCTCAGGCCAGAGCAGGAGGTGCCCTGCATGGGGTTATGGGAACGTACCTGCTAAGATAGGTTCTGTTAGACTTCCATTCCACGTGAACACACACACATACACACTCACCCTACACACTACACACACACCTCATACACACACACACACAACACATACATACCATACACAACACACACACACAACACATACATACTACACACAACACATACATACCACACACAACACACACACACACACCCATACCCCAGACACATACCCCCCATACATACACACATACATACACACCCTACACACCACACACACCTCATACACACACACACACAACACATATATGCCATACACAACACACACACACAACACATACATACCACACACAACACACACACACCCATACCCCAGACACATACCCCCCCATACATACACACACCCTACACACACACACCCTACACACCACACACACACCTCATACACACACACCCTACACACCACACACACAAACACACACACAACACATACATACCACACACAACACACCCATACCCCAGACACAAACCCCCCATACACACACATACACACACACACACACACACACTCAGAATTGTTTAGTTGTTTTGCTGTTGAGACAAGATCTCAACATATAGAGCATAAGCCCATGCTAGATTGAAACGTGTGACCCTCCTGCCTCAGGCAGCCAAGTGCTAGGATTATTTGAAAAAAGCCTGTGCACGCAGATGAGCACCGGAGAAGCCAGGAAAGCTGAACACAGCTACCTCTTCAACGGAACGAGGTGCTCTTCCAGGAATGCCAGGAATGGCATTGTTTGCTGTCTGATGAGACAGGCTCTGCCTTATCTCTCAGAATTTATGTTTTTACTTACCCAAGACCTTCTCCCCTAAATCTTGAGCACTGCTTTTAGACCATAAAGCCATTCCTTTTTTCTTTTCTTTTCTTTTTTTTTTTTAGATTTATTTATTTATTTTCTGTATATGAGAGCTCTGTCTGCATGCCCACCTTTAACAGAAGAGGCTAAGAGACAGTGCTCTTAACCACGGAGCCATCCCTCCAGCGCCCACAAGTGACAAGTGACTTCTATACTACCTTAGGGCCAGGCCATTCCCGACACCTGCAGACATTATGTTTATCTCCAACTCCCTAGACCCTAAATCTTGGGCACTGTCTCTGAGTCAACAGTACCTATTCTTGTAAAAAGAAGCCCGATGTTCTTTGTAAGGCAACTCAGTGTAAACACGTGGTAAGCTGCTGTGCACCTGGGGCTGAATTAATTGTTCTCTGGATAGCTCTTTGAAAATTGTGCCGAGCTTAAATATGATCTGGGCTAGGCTCTAGAAGGACAGCACCGGTTACAACAAAATCTGGCTGATCTGTCTCTTCAGGGATCTGTTTTCTTTACCGCCTGCTGTGAACCCTGCAGGGGACCGACCCCCACCGCACAGTGTGACTGGGGACTGAGTAGGAGATGGCAGACACACAGTCATTTTCACGACGCTGCTGGACGCAATCAGGTGCGTGGGGACACTCAGAGAACCAAAGTCTCCATTAGACAGTAAGCTTGACGCACTCCCATTCCCAGGGGACTGTGCAGAACCCAGTGATACAACTTTCTTTCCTCCATCACATTGATCCCCCGCTTCCCCGACTTCCAGCTCAGCCCTATTCTTAAGTGTCAGCTCCCAAAACCTAGACACACATTCTACCTGGAACTCCCAGTGGCCACACCCAGCAGGGTCTCAAAAGCATTCCCTACCAGGCCACCACCAACAGCTACCACACCCTCCTGAGAACCAGAGAGGGCAAGAGAAATCAAACAACAGGACACCCACCCAACAAAAACAAGACCAACACCCAAAATTACAGTCATCTTAGACCCAGATTTCTAGATGCCAGCATTAAAAATGCAATTAATAACAGCCAGAACAATGTCTCCACTAGAGCCCAGACATCCTACCACAGTAGGCCCTGAGAAATGCATCATAGCTGAAGAGCAAGACAAGGACTTCAAACAGCTTTGTGAATACGCTAGCGGTCCTTATAGAGGACATGAATAAATCCATCAATGGCGTCTATGAAAACAGACAGTACAATGAAATGAAGAAAACATTCAAGACATAAAAGGGGGAAACAGAGTCAATAGAGAAAACCCAAACCGAGGGAAGGAAGGCTGGAAATGAAACACTTAGGGACTTGAACAAGAACCCCAGAGGCAAGTCTCGCCAACAGAATACAGGAGATGGAAGGGAGAATCTCAAACATGGAAAACAAGCTAGAAGAAATGGATATCTCAGCCAAAGAAGATGTCAAATCTAAAACGAAAACAAAAAAACAAAACAAAACAAAAACTCAAGGCACAAAACATCCAGGAAATTTTGGATACTCTGAAAAGACTAACTAGGAATAGAGGAAGGAGAAAAAATCAGATCAAAGGCACAAAATACTTTCAACACAATCACAGAAGACACCATCATCCAGACAAAGCGGCAGCCCACAGAATGGGAAAAGATTTTTAGCAACTCCACATCTGATAGAGGGCTGATTTATAACATATATAAAGAACTCAAAAAAACTAGACATAAGAAAACAAATAACCCACTTTAAAATGGGGTACAGGTCTTAACAGAGAATTCTCAAATAAAGAAACTCAAATGGCTGAGAAACAATGAAATATTCAACATCCTTAGCCATCAGGGAAATGCAAATCAGAACTACTTAGGGATTCCATCTTACCTGTCAGAATGGTCTAGATCAATAAAACAAAGGACAGCTCATGCTGGGGAGGGTATGAGTAACACTCATCCATTGCTGGAAAGACTGAAAACTTGTACGGCCATTATGAAGACCAGTGTGGCAGTTCCTCTGGAAGCTGGGAATTGATCTACCTCAAGAGTCCGCTCTACCCCTCTGGAACATACACCCAAAGGATGCCTAGTTATACCACAGAGACACTTTCCCAGCCATGTTCACTGCAGCTCTATTCACAGTAGCCAGAAATTGGAAGTAGCCCTATATGTTCTTCAACAGAAAAATCCACAAAGAAAATTTATATAACAGAATATTACTCATGTTAAAAAATGAAATTTGCAGATAAATGGAGAAAGCTAGAAAAAAAAAATCATCCTGAGTGAGGTAACCCAATCCAGAAAGACAAGTATGATATGATTCACTTAAATGTGGATATTAGCTGTTAAGTCATTGATAAGCAAGCTATAATCTATATAACCACAGAGGTTAGGTATATAGTAAAGGACTAGAGGTAAGGCATGGATCTCTGTTTAGATAAAGTTGGGGACTGGAATGGAAGGATCAAATGGGAAGAGAGAGGGAACATGAAGAGGGAAGTTAAAGCCAAGGGCCATTTGAGGGTGTCATAGAATCTTCCAAAAATACAGACATGTATGAAAGCAACCTAATGGGAGAGACAGAGCCCCAGCTGGACATCTCATTAACAAATGAAGCTTCCAGTACTGGGAATAGGTTAGAGCTAATTGAGTTGTTGGCCAGATGGGCCCATGGGAACCACCAAGCTATTATTACCAAAGCTACAAACTGATGGTGAGGCCTTATGGCTGAAGACAATACCTGCACAACTCATTGACCATGGAGAAGCTGAGCGGGTGCCTACCTAGATCCTTCACTCCTACAGACTAGTAATCACTGAACCGTAAGGCATTCCTCATACTGCCAAAGGAGGAAGGCAAACCCCAAACCCAGCTACAAAACTTTCAACCTACAATGGCGGCCTGCCCACAGCATGCACTGATACAACAGTCGCACACAAGTCTGTGGAAATAACCAACCAAGATCTGATTAGAGTTAAAGCCCTGTTGGCCAATAGGAAAACAAGATGGGTGGGGTTAGGAGACAAGGAGGATTCTGGGAGATGTAGGAGACAAGGAGGATTCTGGGAGATGTAGTAGAGGAGATTCAAGATGTAGAGGCTTGAAAGAAGAGGTCCCGACCCTCTCTCCAGGAAGATATGACTATGTGGAAACACTTAGATTAATAGAAACGAGTTAGTATTTAAGACAGAGCTAGCCAATAAGAAACACTAGTAACAGGCCAACAGCTTTATATCTAATACAGCATCTCTGTGTGTTATTTGGGGCTGATGTCACTCTGGGACCAGGCTGGTGGGAAACAGCTCATAACACCAGCCAATGAGATGGAATCCATTCTGACATCGCTTTGGTGGCCAAGAACCTGAGGTTAGGTAGGCGGCCAGGCACCTAGAGGAAAACCAAATGCTACTGTTCCGCTAAAATGACTCCTAATGACATTCTGCTGTACTTCCAGACCAGTGCCTTGCTCAGCCATTGTCAGAGAAGCTTCTTCCTGCAGCAGATGAGGTCAGAGACCCACAGACCCAATGCGGATAGAGTGAGAGAGAGAGCTTGGAGTACTCAACCTTAAAAGGGATGTCTCCATCGAATCCATCCCCTCAGGGTCAGGAAACCCTGCAGTAGAGGAGGCGGAAGAGTGTTAAGAGCCAGAGGAATGGAGGACACCAGGAAACAAGGCCTTCTAGATACTACGGGACTGACATCCATAAACATTCAGGATGCAGCAGCATGTACAGGACCTACAGGGGTCTGCACCAGATGAAGTCCCAGAGCTGAGTAGAAGTGGACCCACACACTCCGAAGCTATCTTCAGCTGACGTCACTTGCTAATGAAAATTTGCTTTTCTCTGACGTAGTCTTACTGGGGAAACTAACCGCTCTCAAGGGCGGGCCCCGGGCACAGCAGAGGATGGCCATCATGAAGTGGACTCAAGGGCACCTCTGAAGGTTCTTTGTTTCATAATCTTGCGTCAGAACTTTTATGTTTATATATTACAGCTTCCTTTTTGTGCTTTTGGGTGGTTCCTGTGTGTGTGTGAATGTGTATATCTATGCATCTTGTGCTTGGGAGGGGGGCTTTTTCTTGTGTTTATTTTGTCCTATTCTGACTTGTTTTTGTTTCATCTTATTTTGTTATTATTTATAACAAGAGACAGAAAGGATGGGTGGGGAGGAGCTGGGAGGAGTTGAGAAGGGGAACCTGTGATCAGAATATATTTCATGAAAAAAAAATCTAATTTCAATAAAAGAAAAAGAAAATAAGCCTAAAAGGACTAGTGTTTTCCACAAAAAAATGTCACCGACGCAGCAACACAGGCAAGCACCCGCTCATGCTCAGAATGGGTAAATAGTCCCCAGTTTTTCCATCCCTCCTCCTGCCTGCCTTAGCCACGGCATGCGGAAATGCGACGGGCATTTCCAATTCTTCATCTCACCTGTGACTAGGACTTCCCTCGGACCAGAGAGGCCTTCTCCCATCTGTACCAAAATGATGTACAAATCCCTGGAGATGGGTGCTGCCCTGGCTTCCCTCTTACAACAGTCTCTCCCACTGCTGGGTGACGATGGCCCTTCTCAGCTCTCCCGACACAGTCTTCCCTACGCAGAACCCCGTACTGCTCATCGAGGTCCTATTCTCCTTGAGTATGGCAGTGTATGTTCACCTGGAATCCCAGCACTCGGGAGGCTGGGACAGACCTCACAAGCTCTAGGCTAGCCTGGGCTACATAATGAGCTCTTACCGGAAAAATGGAAACAGCGATCATAGGTGGTAACGATACATCCCAGACCCCAGTACTTTCAGCCGCCTGCCAGTCCTCGAGAAACTCACGCACACTCGCTGTTCTCTCTCTGACGACACAATGCGTGCCTCCTTCTTGGGTGGGTTTATCAAGCTGTGAGATCTTATAGACTAACCTGAAGCTTAACAGTGCCGTACTGATTTTATTTTGTCTCCAGTTCGCCCCTCTCCCTCCCTCCCTTCCTCCTCTCGTCATTTACAGGCTAAACTCTGAACCTGGGCCTGCCTTTGTCTGCGTCCTTCCACGGCTTGTAGTAATTTACCTTTTAAATCCCATGCTTGTCACCTCCTCCCCACCCTGTACCATGACAACAGTATCGGAACGTGTCCTATTCCCTCCATCGCTTCTATAATCCATCATTCTTAAGGCATCTCCAGGACTACCTTGCTTTGAGATGAAAAGAATCTCTGTGCACACCGAGCAGAGTCTCCCACGACAACGAAAGGTCCTGGATTTATTTTCCTCTGCCCTTTTTAATAAGGGGAAGCAGAAGCATCTATAGAAGCCAACATTGCATTCAAGTTATAGTCCAATGACATCCCCATCGGTCATTAGACTTTGGCATTGTTATCTACCTCACGGCCCCCAAATCCTCATGCCATGGCTCTCCTGAGTCACCTGCACTGATCTTCGGTTCTTGATACTACATTGAGGTGGCTACAACAATGCCCACATATCCAGTAAGCACCCTCCCGGCCCCACATAAACAGCAGAGGGAGGAACATGTAAGAAACAGCCTTGGAGAATCAGGAAGCAAGTTACCCTTCAATCGTTCATGCAAGGGACCTTCACACATACAACAAAAGCAGTCAGACATGAGCAAGAGCCTTGGGGAATCATGAAGCTACCTACACACAAGTCTCCAGGCTACCCTCCTTCCTTTAGGAGGAGTTTCCATGTGTTCTGTGAATGTTTAGTGTTAACCTTACACATCTCATGATAATCATTGACTTCTATACCTGAAAAGCATCACACACACACACACACACACACACACACACACACACACGCATGCACGCACGCACACACACATTACTGATTGGTTAACTCATTTCTGATGAGTGAGTGAGTGAGTGAGTGAGTGAGTGAGTGAGTGAGTGAGTAAATGCCAATCAACACGAAGCAAGGCCATCCTTGCCTCCTCACTCAGGCCCGTTGTCAAGCTAACCCAAGCCAATAATGCCCTGGCCATATAATTAAATTCTAGTAACTCACATCTCTCTGCTAATATCTCCAAAGAGTAAAATAAGACTTTTAAAGAGCATTATGTAAATTCAAAGGGACAACTGGATCCTCACAGCTTGTCACTGCCTTTACCGATAACTGGGACTGCTCCCTCACCAGGTGCGACGCAGCCTTGTCCACGCCCTCGGAGGGGCAGAGTGCAGCGGTCTCGGGAGCTGGGCTGGCGCCTGTGAGAAGAGGAAACAGTGAAGGATGGTGGGTGGAGAGCTGTGACAAGCAAAAGAGGAAGAAACATTCAGGGTGGTAATGCGGGTAGGCCAGGGAACAAGAGAGGCTGACACGCCACAGCAGTCAGATCGCTCCAGAGCTCGTTCATGTCCCCCAGTGCTCAGCCAGGGACACAGCAGTGGGGGCTTCCCCAGTCTGTACCAGTGGCCTTTCACACAGAGGACTGGCTAGCTGTATCTTTAAGCTTTCCTAGGGCTAATGCTGCCCTTTCCTACTAGAGGTCTTCCTGGCCGAACACAGAGCTACGTGGAAGAGACGCAGTTGGAAGCTGACTTTCAAGCTGCTTGTAAATTGCATATGCGTGGACCCTTCCAAACATCGGGCTAGCGCACTGAAGGAAGGGACACTTTGGGGACAATCCGTCACGTTTGGTAATTTCTGTTCATTTTTGCACGCACTGCACAGAAGTTTGACTACACTACCCTAACACTCAGTACTTACAATAAACAATAACCCGTCGTGGTGTTACAAGAGACCATGAGAAATAAAAGCAAAGTAGATATCAATTTCTTTTGGAAAATAGGATTTCCCCCTATGGAAGTTTTCTCTTTTTCTTTAAATTTTAGAGCTGGGACTGGCGTGGTGAGACCTAACCGAGTCTAATCCATTTCTGTCAGACAGCAATATTTAAGACCCACCGTAATATATTGTAATTTTTCTTCCATCTTGAAAGAAACTGCTGGCACCCTCATACATCAGAACCACCTCTTAGACTCCTCCAGACTATATTTCCCAAGGTGTTTTATGAGAACTGTTTTCTGAAAAGGAATGCCCAGCAATATCAAGCTACCAAGGCCATCGACTTTGCTTGTTTGCAGGCACCGCTCAGGGGCTTGCTTGCTTAGGAGCTGCCCTTGGGTTCCTCGGCATCATACCTGACATGGCAGAGGCCGATCCTGCTTCCTCCTCCTTCTCGCAGAGGGACTTGCAGTCAAGGACACCAGACGTCGTGCGCAAACTGTCTGATCCAGATTCTGCAGCAGGAAGAGGCTGACGGTGTGAGGGAGCCATGCAAAAGCAGAATTTGCCTGGGCCTCTCTTATTTGCACACACGCCTTAGCAGGCCACCAAACACCAGGACTCAATTTGTAAGAAGAACTCCGATTCTCTCTCTCCTGCAGCTACTCACCACTTGACGTCACGGTACTCTCTGAGGACGAGGAGTGATCGGCTGATGGTTGCGGAAGATACTCCCTGAGGAAAGGATACAAGAAATATCTTCAACACGGAGGGCAAATAATTCCTTTAAAAACCAACGGAATAAACACCCAAGTCCAAAAGCGTGCAAACCTGAGCTGTGGTAGACTCTCAGAATACAAGTGGCCAACACCATTCTCCTGCAGGGAACAAGGAGACACACGCTCAGTGGTTTGACAGAGTCCATCCCAGAAGGGCAGCTTCAGGCAAACATCCCCAACTGTTTTAAATAAAGCCACTATTTACTGTGCTCTGGGGAGCAGTTTGGGAATGGAACCTTACAGGGAATCTTCATGTACACACTTCCCAACCGCTGTTCTCAGAGGCAATATCACACTTTAAAGAAAACCTGTTATGTCCTTCAGCAAAACAAATTCTAAGCCACAAGGGCAGATGGAGTTTATTCCACACATTCCCATCATGCTCTCTTCACAGGGGAGCACTACCTGAGTGTAACATTTTTACCTATGACACCATTACTCAGCATCAGGCTTTTGACCTGAAAAGGCTCTTGGGCTCCTTGCTAGGTAAGTGATAATTTTAGCCTTAGTCCATATCGCAAGGATCTGATTGAGAACGAGCATGTCAGCATCCACGGCTCCATCCAAAGGGAGAGCTGCTGAACAGACGTGTCTCATTTCAGCCTTTACATTCTTAGTCAGGGCTCTCCACTGGAGAAGAGCTGCCATGTGGCACTAGGATTTACGCACGCTTACGCCTTTTCAAAGAGCAAAGTTGGCCACTTGCCTGGTCTGGGGCCTCCTTCTAAGCTCTGGGCTTTTCCTGTGAGCTTGCTCTGGTTGTCATGTATTTAGGAACGGAGCTGAATTCTAAACTGCTATCATTCTAGCATGCCTGAAGTAGATGCAGGCCAGGTGAAAGGAAAACACACATGACTACATACAGGTGTGCATAAGCTACATATAAGTGTGCATAAACTACACACAGGTGTGCATAAACCAATCGATCGCAGAATCATCGATGGCTACAGTCAATGGCAGGCTTCTACAGAAGGCTGCTGCTTCTGAGCAAACACTGAGCAGGGTCACAGGAAGCCTTAGGGAGGGCTTAGTCTTTGTTGTTTTATCTCATTGTTGCTTTGGGGCAGTCCTGATGAACTAAGAGCCTTGGCCACACCGGGCAAGAACTCTGTCACTGGCCAACTCTCAGTCCAGCAGTTTACATCTCTTTAGTTTGTTAAAATCTACAAACGTGGGGGCAGCTAGAGGACCCGGAAGGTGGAGGTGCTGATGCCAACTCTGATGCCCCGAGTTCAATCCCTGGAAACCGGGAACAGAGGAAACAGAACAAACCCCTGCATGGAGAGCCTCTGACCTCTGCCCGTACACTGAGGCAGCGCGTACCTATCATCTCATCCATCTCGTTCCCCAAAACTGTTACACCGAAGGTTTTCACGGGGAAAGGCAAGAAATTAAGGCCAGGGGAGAGTACCAGGAGCCCAAGCAGCAGCCTGGCGTCTGAACAACATTGAAACATCCAACAGTGTCTTCTCCAGTGCAGACTAACTTGGAGTATGCGCTGACGCAGGGTTTTGGGAAAGAGAGAGCCTCAACTACTTAGACTCAGAAAGATTTAAAAATAAACTTGGGCTGGTGAGAGGGTAGGAGAGCTGGTAGCTCTTGCAGAGGACCTGAGCTCAGTTCCTGAAACCCAATAGTGGCTCACTCCAACCTCTAAGTCTACCTCCGGGGCATCTGATACCTGTTTTCCAGCCTCTGCTACACTCACATAATACATCTTTTAAAAATTAAATATTAATTTTAATGTATTTACCTCAAATTTAAAAAATGCTCAAATTTGAAAGGGGAAGAATCCCTATCACAGTTTAAGCTTCTGTTTCGTTCCTTCTGGCTTTTATCTATCTTTGTTTTTGCATTTTAAAATGTTTGACATCTGCAGCTATCTATACTGATTGAGATGCTCTGTTCCACGCAGAGCATGCAGCCAGCTGGGGCAGTAATTAAACTTTGAAGAATCGTACCGTGCCACGTACAGGAAGTTAAATAATGCTGGCCCTATCTGTTTAAATATATAGTAATTGCAGTTTTATTTACGTATAGGGTGCATATGAAATGAAGCTGTAATAACTGGAGAAGATGAAGATTGTTCCACTTCATTGGCTACCGTAGTTCATAAAAGAACTGATTTCTCTAAAGAATACGTACAATTCATTAACGGACAAGCCGCGCCATCGCTGATCAGCTGTAATACTAACGGTAGCCTTGTCCACGGGGGCCCTTGATGCTCATGATTAAACATAGGAAGAAATGAGTTCATATTCCATTATCTTAACTTTCCAAAAGTGGGGGAAGGGAGCAGACACTCTTATTTTTAACAAAACTTCTATTTTAAAAATCCTAATTGTCCTGTTTAAAACCAAAACACAACTATGATTTCTCCCTGTGGTGTCTCAGACAAGTCTCATCTGTAGGGTGCCCTACAGCGTCCCTTTACGTTCACCTGTAACCTTACACAGTACAGTCAGAGGGTCTCGTGTAACAGTAGAAAGCCTTCCTGATCATGCTCTGAGGCTTTCTCAGAAGTGTTTTGACAAATGTCAAGTATTTACTGAGTATACAGATGCCCTGTGTGATCTGGGAGAAACCCCACAAACTGAGTAGTTCTGAAAAGTTACTGTGGAAGCAGCTGGTTTTAACTTTCAAGTTATCCATCTTTATAAATCCCAATCATCAGGTAGCAACACACAGCAGACTCAATCCTACTTGTCCTAAGTGTAACCCAGCAAAGTGTTTGTCCATCACATGACAATAACCAGAACAAAGGGGTTGGCTTTCTGTTCTTCAAATTTCATTTCAAATTTGGGGTTGGAGCATTAAAGGGTTGGAGAGAAAGCCTTCCGGACAGTTGTGTTTGTGAGGTAGGATAGGAATAGTTTAAACCCCATTTAAACCATCATCCCATGCTCATACAAGACCTTCACCCCACCGATAACCTTAGGACCTGGAGAGACTGTGAGGGACAATCTCCTGAACATCTTTTAAAAGCAGAGAAAACCAAGAAATGAATAAACTGGGTGGGAGACGGACTTACTGTGGCAGCTCGGCTCACTCCATGAAGCGAACGCCCAGGAGCAAAGCTCTCCCTCTCAGGAAATCCATTCAAATAGAGGCCTCATCCCATTTACATGGAAACCCAGGCCCAGACCCTTGTACTCATGAGCAGGAGTTAACACAGGGCGGGGCTGGCTAGGAATGGAACCAGTGAGACGTCTCCTATGGGCTGGGTCAGCCTGTCCGTCCGTCCGTCCGTCCATCCGTCTGTCTGTCTCATACACACACGGGGGGGGGGGGGGTAAACAGTATCTCAGTGTGTACATAGAAAAATAGGTAGGAAGGACAGGGAGAGACAGGATTTTTAGGAATTCATTAGCCTAGATAATCTTCTAGGGCTGTTTGTTCTCAGTAAAATGCTGCTTTAACTACAGTCTTTATAAATGGAAATGTTCCCTCTCTCATGAACAGGTGTTGCCCATATAATTTTACTACTGGACTGGGTTTAGAAAAACTAATGCTAATCAAGTTAAACAAGACCAAAAAAAAAAAAAAAACCAAACCAAAACAAAACAAAAAACCCACCAACAAACAAACCCGTGGCCAGAGTTTATACAGACCTAGGACTGAACTGTGTCCATCCAGTGCTCAGGAGGGAGGAACAGACTGAAGTCCCTCATCCCTGCTTTCTAACCAAAAGCACGCCGCGCCCTCAGCCTGTGCGGCACACCCAGCACTGAAGGGTTCACTTAGAAGCAGTCTCGTCAGGCCCAACCCTGTAGCTGGCAATGTCATTTGTTCTCCAAGGTTATTACTGCTGCGCCTACACACAGCCTGAGAAAACAGGACAGACCACGGCCAGGAAATCCCCCAAATAGCATTACATTGATCCTGTCCTCTGCCTCGGTGACTCTGCACTCCCAATGACAGCCTGTCGCACACAAACAAGTCACAACATGAAGGATAATGGGAGGGAGGGAGACAGTTAAGGTCTTTTAAACTACGGACACAGATTTTCATCTCCGACGCCTTTGCTCTTTGAGGTGGGAGGTCGACTCTGAGTTTAATACCTTCGATCATTCTGGCTCTGGGTCAAAGCCATGGATACTATCAGGAAGCATTTACTGTGAAGCCAGGCCGGGGCTGGAGAGATGGCTCAGCAGCTGAGAGCAATAGCCGCTCTTCAGAGCACCTGAGTTCAGTTCCCAACTCTAGCTCCAGGGCTCCCTCTCCTGGCCTCTGCCAGTACCCACATATATGGTGGGTCACACACACACACACACACACACACACACACACACACACACACACACACGTGTAAATCTTGAGGTTGGAGAGACAGACAACTCAGTAATTAAGAGCACGGTACACTCTTGCAAAGGACCTGAGTTTGATTCCCAGGACCTAACATGGAGGCTCACAGCTGTCCGTAATTCCAGTTCCAGGGGCTCCAGTGTTCTCTTTGGGTACCACAGACATGTGGTACAGATACATACAAGCAGGCAAAATACCCATACACATACAACATTTTACATCTTTAATGTGGACTAGAAAATTCACACATGCTACCAAGTATCTCTGTAGGCTCAGATCAGGGACCGGAGGGAGAGGGGCCTCGGTTTTGTTTTGTGTTGTGGCAGGGTCTTACTATGTAGCCCAGGCTAGCCTCAGACCCAGCCCATCTTCCTGTTTCAGCCTCCCAGTTCCCCGTCATGGAACTCGTAATCCTTGGACATCCAGGGCAGGAACAAGGACATAGCATGCCTCCAGGTTTGCAAGGCACTCAGAGAACAGCTGCCTGCCGTTTAGCCCAGAGGACAAGGCAGTGCCTGAGAGGCAGACAGGCCGGCGCAGGAGGGCCCATCGCCAACAGAGAAATCACTGCCGCTCAGGAGGACCCTAAGGGAGGGGACACAGCCTGTGGAGGGGGCAGCGGCCCTGGGGCCTTGCTCCTGACCGCTGTTCCCAGAGCTGCAGGGCTGTCTGTGCACCTTGGAAATGCCACTCACTGCGCCCGCAGGGTATCCCCCCTCCCCCCCCCATAGCATGAAGCGTGAGGTACAATGGTCTACTGCTGACTTAGGAAGGGACCAGCAGAGGCACAGACA